AATAATAATAATAATTTGCTTTATTCCAAAACAGTACTTGTGATACAGAATGGAATTCTCAGCATTTTTACTACAGTATTGCATCCAGTTAGTACATTGTCAATAAATAGAATTCTACATAGATTGAGGAAACCACAGTTCATTATTACAACAGTACATTGGTATGTTCAGTAGCAAAGGTAAAGCTGAAACAGTGTTTGAAGGTGTTAGAAAAGTGGGAGCTGTCTTATTAACTGGCGTAAGCGAAAGAAAGAGACAAAGCAGCACATAACGGAAAAAGAAGAGAGAGAAAAGGAACAGAAAGAAAGGAAATGTTGAACCTATTGATGAAGTGGGTTGGAAAGATGAGATCCAGTTGTACTAATGACTATTTAATGAGTTATAGGTGTCACGCCTAATGCTTTCTTTATCACACAGAACGCGAGCTAAGTAGGGTATGGTTGAGTTTTTGTACTTGCTGGTGCGAGCATATAGTTTTCTATATTGGCTTCTGGTTTTACCTGATGAGATGCAAGGGGAGAGTTGTGAGTGAAGAGGGTGGTGTGAGTTAGATAAAATGGACTTGGCCCATTTTTCACATGAGTCCATGTGCCTGTCAACCAAAATATTAACAAGCTGGTTAAGTGGCACGTTGCTTACTCTGCTGACAACATTTAACATCCTGCGTAATATGTTATAGTCTTTCTTCAGTAGCCCAGGAAAAACTAAGGGGGAACAATAGAGAATAATAGGCAGGATGCGAGAATTAACGAATTGTAGGAGTAGGGGTTGGGTAATACCAGAATGTTACGAAGCTAAAGAAGTGTGTATACTGAGCTTTGGTCTCTAGCTTTCTAAATATTATTCTTATGGTGCAACTATCCCCTCTTTTCGTTAGTAGGAAGTCGAGGAAGTGCAGACAGTTGTTGTATTCTTCTTTGTAGGTGAAATTGACCGCTGGGTGAGCATTATTGAAGTTACTCAAAGTCAAATCACTATGTAACCCTTCATTGTACACTACAAAACTGTCATCCATGTATTGACAATACATTTCCACTTTTGCTATTTCATCATTCGACAGACTATTTTCTAGTTATTCTACGTTAAAAAATATATCCGCCGCATAATTGGCCATTGTTGTAATGGTAACGAATATTACATCTCATAACTGTAAGAACATGGAAAGAAATTATTGAAGAGAATATTCTTCGTTCAGACTGACTTTTAATTCATGACATATGGGAATATTTCGCAATATTAAATCTTATAAATCTAAAAATACTCAAATGAAAACAGTCAACAAATCAATGGAGAAAAAGTATCCTGCTTAAGAAAAAGAATTCACCAATCAAACACCATCAACCGTGATCGATAAGACAAAGTGGGCAATTAACCTCTTAACAAGAGCCTTAAGTTCTGATAAAAGGATTCAACTTCGCTGTAACTGTTAACAGATTAAAACCTGAAGACATCATTCCTAGTACAGAGGTAGCATTAAATGAGATAGACAAAACCACTGCAGAACAAGTCAGGGCACAATGTGCATTGACACTAAAACACCCGAAAAAAGGAAGAAACAACTTATCACGGAAAGAGAAATAACAGCTCTAGACAGCTTGAAGAATGACAAAGTCGTAGTAATTGAGAAATCGGACAAAGGTAATACAACAGTAGTCATGGAAAAATCAGATTATATAAACGAGGTTAAAAATCCAGTCGTTAATACTGCATCACTGCGTGACATTTGAAATAAACTTATCTAATATGGATTTACTTTCTACCAGAGTGGTGGTGGCTCAATAAGACGATCAATTTACAGAAAGCCCACTTGGATAGGGCAATACCTTAATTTTCACAGCTTCTGTCCACTATAGTATAAGAGAGGATTGGTGAAATGTTTATTTAAGAGGATTCAGCGTATTTGTACGACTGATGTTATACAGAAAGAAAATGAAATATTGATTGATGCTCTTGTTGAAAACGGATATCCTTTAAAATTTTTGAACAGGTGTAGAAATCAATTAGTCCTTAAACCTACAATCTATTCCGCTCCAGAGAAAAATGTTTTCATCAAATTACCATATAACGGTGAAATAAACAGCAGAATTTTGAGACAAAGGTTGAATTCCATCATCCGTAAGACCTTTATGCAGTCCGGCTTGTAATTATCAAAAAAGCCAAAAAATATGCTCCACTGCAAACCTCAAAAGTGCACAAGTGATTATGTCACATCCCAAACCATTTACCGATTTTCGTGTGTGTGTGTGTGTGGACACACATACATGGGGAGGAGTAATCACGTTTGCATGGGAGAGCATATCCCAAAATGATTAGAAAGGCAAATGAATTGTGGAAAATCAATAGACGGAGGTGGCAGACTACCAAATTCGTCTGTAGCTAAATATCTAATCGAGATGAGCCATACGATTGATATTAACACAGCCTTTTAGGTCATCTATAAAAATGGTCGGTGGCACAGTGGTTAGGACTCTCGTCGACTATGCACATGGTCCGGGGTTCGATCCCCTGCCGGCGCACACCCGATATCTGTGGTCGGCCTGTAAATTTGGGCTACCGATATCCATGCTGAAAATTCCATACTTGTACTGAAAATACAGTGTGGAATCAAGCTGTAATCAAAATAAAAAAATAAAATGAATAAAATGGTCAAGGGCGCTTATTGAAATACCCTGAGGCTATAGCTATTCATAAACTTAAGTATCCCCACCCCGGTGTGTTCATAAACAGTTTATTATTACTCTTAACCTCCGTTGGTAATCCTTATTTGATTGAATCACCAAACGTTGTGTTAATTATTTTTAAAGTTCCGTCAGCTCTCCTTGTAAGTTAAACATCAAGAAAAGGGATTTTGGATTCGTTTTCGATTTCAAGAGTGAACTTTGTAGCTGAATGGCATTTGTTGAATATTTGTAGCCAACCTCCCACTGCGTCCAATTTTGGATATGTCTGGTTCCCCGTACCATTCAATAGCGAAATGGCTCACTGACATTTTAGAACCTGTACGAACACAGATGTGCCACTATTCGCTTTGTGACACTTTCGAATTCGTCGATTATATTAAAGATATCAGTGTAGAGAACAAAAATATGCTCTCTCTTGGCACTGAGTCACTATTTACAAGCGTTCCACTCACAGAAACTGTCTGTCACATTTGTCAATACATAGACGAAAATCAACTGAACATCGGATTATCGACGACTTGTTTAAAAGAACTACTACTGAGATGTACACTCAATGTACAATTCACATTCAATGATGTTATTTACAGACAACAAGATGGGATCGCAATGGGATCTCCATTGGGCCCATTACTAGCAGACTGCTTCATGACAAACCTCGAGAATGGCCCACTCAAATCAACTATTGACAATTTTCAATTGTTTTAAATCCTTTTTGTCACTTTGTTTAATTTAATTGCCCTTAATTTTTTTATATATATATATCGACTTGACAAGTAAATGTGCGATCAAATTGTTGTTCGAAATGTATAGCGCAACTATGTCACATCACATTACTTTTCAGATAATCTCCGTCTTCTTCCAAATTTATAAAAAGGGACTAATTGTTTTAAACTATATTTGTTCACATAAAAAAGGTGTAATAATCATTCACTCATCAAGTTGAACAAAATAACAAATGAGCATCAAATATTATTATTATTATAAGATTTTATTTTGACAAATCACACAGTGTTGTACAGTAATATTAACTGATGACCACGTTTCGAGCACAAATTATAACCACTCATAATCATATCAAGGTATTCCTTACACAACTTTCTTGCTTCATTTATATACATGAGTAAACATTGATGATTAAACATTTGATTGAATAAAATCAACAATATAAGAGAAAGTACATTCTGAAATAATAATCTGAGTGTTATCAATCAAATACAATCAGATGGGAAATAAGATATTTTTATAGTAAAATAAATAAATAACTTGTTAAAATGTTATAATGTCTGAGAATTGAAATAGAATTTTAAGATTATTTATTATCCTCCTCTGATTTGACTGACTAGTGGTAATAATATCTTCCACATTTCTGGTATTTACATTGAGTCATTTCTGTTGCATGTATTGGGTGTAGATTATTCGATGAACCAGGATTCAGTAATCAATCTCTCTCTGTCTCCACCTACCTACCTATATTGCTTTTGAGAATTTCGACTTTGTCCCACACACCCTATTGTGTGATTGTGTGTTAATGCAGTGCAAATGCTGAGTTTGTTTTTCTAAATTAGTTATCTCCTCGGCGTCAACCATTCTAACATTAACTAAATTTTTATGTTCTGATAGTCAGTCTGACTGACCTATGTAGTTGACCTCACTCACAGTCATTGAAAGGTATTTTGTAAATTATATTGTTTTGTCTAATTGGGTTAACCTACAGGATCCTTTAGCCTACAGGGCTTGTCCTAGCTGAGTGAGTTTGTAGGTTTAAATGCCACCCTAATTTCTGCTTTCATGAGAATCCTATGTAGGGCCTCAGATCTCCCGTGCTTATTTGGTATGACTGCAGATCCCTGATATTCTTCCTTATTTATGTTATCATTATTGGTTTTCCCATTGTTTTGATATTCCTAATGAATTTTATAAGATAGTTATTCAACATCAATGCCTCTTCTGTCTGTTTCATTTCATTGTTTAGGTCTATGAAAATATCTTATGTCCCATCTGATTGTATTTGACTGATAACACTAATATTATTTCTGAATGTACTCTATCTTATACTGATTGATTTTATTCAAATGTCTAATCAGTTCTCACTCATGTTAATCAATGAAGCAGAAAAGCTGTGTGAGTAGTGCCTTGATATGATTATGAGCAGTAATAGTTTGTGCTCGGAACGTGGTCACCAGTTAATATTACTGTACAACACTGTGTGATTTGTCAAAATAAAATCTTATCCATAATGGAGTTATAGTCTACCGCCACAGTGTCCAAGTTTTAAACTTATATTAAAATGATTATTATTGTTAAATTCGTATGACATACCTTCTTAGCTAACCATACACGTAGAACAGGCATACCAGCTATAATTGAATTTGGATCTTCCTCAGCAGCTGAATTCACTGTATCATTAGCTCCAATAACTAGAACTAGATCTGTCTTGGGAAAATCATCATTGATCTCATCCATTTCATAGACAATATCATATGGTACACCAGCTTCAGCTAACAGAACATTCAGCTGTCCAGGCATACGTCCTAAATTATTTTTAAAATAAGGGGTAATATATGTATACATATATGTCAATATGATTAGTAGTATAATAACTTTGACGTAGTTTTTTTCTCTGAGCTAACAGGATGGTTTATACTTGCGAAGCTCTCATTCCCTCCCCCCCCCCCCCACTAGGCAAGATCTTCAGTGCATGCTTCAATTTGATGAAGTGAGCTATTAGATTTCTCCACGAGTTTATTAGTTATCTCCCCTGGTGGGTGACCTTGAACAACGTCGTGATTGGTTGTTTTGGTGAGTTTTCACACCCTCGAGGCTGCTTGTATTGGTATTGGTGCTGATTGTTTCCTTGACTTGAGCTTTGACCCTTTGTGTGTGAGATTTCATTCTTATCGGTGTGTCTATTGATTGACGATTCACTGGGATACCAGGCAGACTTCTAAAATTTCTCTAGCATTCTTGGTGTTTCCTCTTTCCTCTTCGTCTTCGTATCCATGATCATAAACTAGCCATCAAAAGATATGACGTCCACTCCCTCAGATCACTCACTGCATACAAACAACCACGGATATCAATTCGACTGAGACAACCAAGGTTCAAATATTAGACAGAGGAAACATCAGGAATGCTAGAGGATTTTTAGATTTTACTATCACCGATGATAATTCAAAGTGTAGTCGAATGGATTGTACGAAACGACAAGACAGGAATGCTCTGGATCGATAAGAAGACTCCAGAAGATCTGGACTTCTCGGACAATTTATGTCTGATTTCACACAAACTCGGAGACTTAAAGGTGGAAGCCAAACAGTTAGCAGAAGAAGCAGCAGCAAAGATAGGACTTCAAGTAAACATAGAGAGTCGAGGGTGATGAAAATGACCAATTAACAACAACATGAACCAATCACTATCAAAGGAAAAGATTAGAAAGAAGTCACCTCCATCACCAATCTAAGTAGCACCGTTTCAAAAACAGGCGGCGACACCGATGAGGATGTTTGAAACCAGATTTGAAAAGACAAGACAAGCCTTCATCACTCTGAAATCAATTTGGAAATCGACTGCGCTCAGCATAAGGAACAAAATTCGGATTTTCAACACTGATGTTAAGGTACTCAATTCTTCTATATAGATTAGAGACTTGGCTTTCGAGTCACGAAGAGCATTGCTAACAGGTCACTTCAAGCTTTTATCACTAGCTGCCTTTTCCTGCTGTTTACTGAGGATCAGATGACTGGAAAGAATTACCAACAACAAATTCTGACAACAGACCAATCGAGAACCTGTTGTTCAAGAAATAGGCAGAATAAAATGGAGGTGGATCGAAAGCACGCTTAGAGGACCGTCGGTTGATATCGCACATAAGGTAAACCATGGAGTTGAGCCTGAGTAGGAACGACCAGTTGGACATCCGAGGGGGACATATAGAAGATTGTGTGGAGAGGGTATGAAAGTTTATGGACAGTCGTGAGGCCCACTAAAGAGGACTGCAGAAAATAGGACAAACTGGAGATGTGCTATCAAAGCCCTATGTTCCACCAAGAACTCAAGGGAATAAATAATAATAGTAATAATAGCAGTCGAACATGTTACATCACTTATCTATATATCAAACAGATACGTTAAGAAAACAACAACCACTTGAATCACCATGCAGTTGGCAATGATCCACACTTACTGAGTGATGGTCAGTGATACTATCTGGCTGCCCAAACCTTTGTAAATATGAGGCGGGATTAAAATTAGATGACCCAGGGGTTAGAAGGGGAGAGTCTAGATTAGGCAACCACATCCCCTTTAAATATCGATTCCAGTTTCCATATACGCTAATCTTCACGGAACGTACGATTCACCGTCTGGCTCACATCAGTAGACAACCACTTTATGAGTTGGTGCAAGGTCTTCATCTCAGTACCCTCAACTTCTTTTCACCTTAATCTTTTTTCGCTAACGTAAAAAAACTGAATGACCGGCTGAGTTTCAACATAGAATGTTATCTCATCTCATGAATGAAGAACCCAAGATTAATGTTAACAGGGCTTGCAAAGTTATCTACCATATACCGACTGCTAATCTTAATTTTACCTCATGATTGTAATCACAAGGAGTGGATGAATATGTGCCATTGTGAAGGATTTCGAGACATGTCACTGACAGATCCAGACAGCCGTTCTTAGCATCCCGAGGACTCCAACCAACCAGGAAGTGCACACCTCCCCATCTCATTCAAACCAACTTTAAAAGATTTCATGAATCGATTCCGGCTTTCAGTTTTAACCACTACTATCTCTCACTCAACCTGATCATGTGTCGGGCAACATCTCCCGTTGTCGAGGAAGACGACGGCTAAGGATGCGTAACACTCGTCCTGAATATCGCAATCGATTCGGCTAAGCCACCTCATCGACCGACTTCCCCTCCCTTACCTAACACTCATTTCCCAATCTCAGTATTGCTCATCATATTATTCTAATTAACACGGAAGATAGTATTCAAACATCTGTGCTTAAAGGCAGCCAACTTCTTCAAGTCTTCCACTTTCGGTGGCAAATTCCTACAGTCATGAAGGAGGACAGAGTAAACTGCTGCATAGTACACACGTCAAATGACCGATAGTCGACAGCACAAACACATTTCAATATAGCAAAATTTAGTTAACAAATACTTACACATATACTAAAAACAAGTTGGCTGTATCACTCACTTACCTGCAACAGGATGTATAGCAAATCGTACACGTTTCCCTTGTTTAATTAATTCTTTAGCTAGTTCAGCTAACGGATATTGTCCTTTGGCTACGCATAGACCATAACCGGGTGTGATAATAATATCTTTATAATTTTCAAGGTAACTAACAACTGTTGGTATATCTGTTTCTCGATGAGTACCTGTAAATATTGTGAAAATGAAAGTTTATATCATAATAATGCGTAGTAATTAGTGAATAATTCTAATTATCATTATACCGAAAATATTCATTCAGACATCTATAAAACACAAAATAATTGAGCAAAGAATATCCTTTTCGATAATTCCCTCTTCTGGCCCTACAATCATATATATATATATATATGTTCATATATATAGAATATTCTAGAGTAGTCGTCAATAACAATATTGCTGTTTTTTAAATATTATCTTTTTATTAAGTAAGATCACAATGGAATTACAGTTCAATAAAGATGCTTAAATTACAATAATAATAAAGATATTTTTTTTATCCTTTCCCGTTCCCCAGTGGAACATAGGGCTTCAAGCTAGAGGCTTGAAGTTTCTGTAGCAGTGTTTATTTTACAGGGTGGGGTTGCTAGCCTCATGCCCAACCTTTCCTCTTCACCAGCATTATTTCTGGCTTAGCGAGGTAAAGGAGTGCGTCGGCCGGGGCTCGAACCCCGGACCATGTGCATGGTCGGCGAGCGTCCTAACCGCTATGCCACCGACGCACATAATAAAGATATAGTAGCAAATAAAATATCAACTAAAATTAAGGAAATTTTCACAAAAATTGAGGATCATTCAAACCTGGATGGCCAAGGTACGGAAAATGTCTAAACTAACTTCTTTTGGACACATAAATTACGCTCCTTAATATGGATCCCAACAGCCAACCTCAGCAATATTTAGTAGTCGAACTCTTAAGGCGAAATTGAGACTTGTTGGTGTGCGGTAAATGACCCTGAAAGCATGGTTAAGGTCAATCTTGTGTTCTGTATCCACAAGATGAGATAGAATAGTGCTGCGAATAGATTTTTTTTGTCCTTTACTTAACCACTTTGCAGGGTGATGTTCGGAAATTCGACGAGAAACACACCGAATTGTACGGCCTATGCAACTAACTGGCTCACTCCACAGGAGCAGTTAAATTGACAGATACACATGGAAGAGGCGAAATTAGGCAGTTTGTCTTCTACTCCCGAACGCAAAACAGTGGTGGTTTTGAAGACACAGCGTAATTCGGCAGCAGGGAATGCTCTTTTTGCCGCATTTCTAAGGCGTTGTGTTAGTATCTCGCTGATGTTGTCTCCAAGGAACTGCATTTGTAAGAATAAGGTCTTTTCAGGAATTGTTGGTACTTTGGGCTACTTTGAGTTCAGATTCATACTTTCATCAATAAACTTTTCTGGGTAACCGTTTTCACTCAGCAACTGTTTAGTATTATTATGTTCTTCATCAAGACATTCATCCGAGCAGATTGCTCTAGCTCTGTGGCAGACAAAGCACTTTATCAGATTGCGTTTGTATTTCAAGAGCACGAAGCTGAAAAAAAATGAGTATACTGACCCGTTGATGTAGGTTTCCTACATACACCTCTTATTGCGCCATCCTCTTTTCTGGTCATAAGGACGTCTAGAAATAAAATACTAGAGTCTTTTTCTTTCTCAATAGTAAAATTTATTGCAGCATGAACCTCGTTAAATTTATCCAGGATGTTCTCTGCCTCCTTTTCGTTCTTCATAATCAAAAAATTATCATCCATGTACCGACAATAGAATTCGAGTTCATTAATAACATCCTTCAAAGGCCCATTTTCTAGTTTTGCAAGGAAAATGTCGGCTTTACGAATAGAACATAAGGCTCCAAGCTTGATGTTTGAAGTTTCGGTACCGGTGGTGTAGTTTTTGCAACACTGGCGTTATTAGTCTCACGCTCAACCTCTCTTCTTTATCCGGCTTACTACCACCTAAACGACGTTAAGAAGTGCGTCAGCTGGGGGTCGAAGTCTGGACCAGTTAGATCGTTGGTGAGTATTCTACCACTGCACTCCAAACGCACTTTTATGCTGCAATTCTTCAACTTTCTGTTCCCATTCGTTCAATTTCGGTGGCTCTATTGCTGCTACTGTTGTGCTCAACAGCTATCTGGTTACCTTCATTGGCTCACCGATGTCCATGGACTGTGCAGCGTTAATCAGTTGTAGTTGCTGAAAAATGTGGTCTGGGAATCTATCGATGAACTGGGACTCCAATAACTACGACTACGACTCTTCATCCATTGTGGGGAGTGCACGACTTAGTAGATTTGTCAGCTTCATCGCCAACAATAGAGAGTCTCCGTCCGGTGCCAGCCTAGCGACATGGAACTGCTGCATCGCCAGCTACCTGTCTGCCACCAACCGTCCAACCAGTACCTCCCAGGTCCCCGTAATCATCTTACCGCCCCACACTATCGTACGCCACCTTTGCTCAACCTCTCAGTAGCGTCTCCAGCACAACCACATTCGCCACCGGATCCTTGACACCCATCAACTTAGCGAAGGCCTCAAAGTCAGCAAGAAGCTCCTGATGCCTCACTCATCGTAAGCAGCCGGTCATTTGACCTTCATTATCAGGAGGGAATGACGCCACTTGTAGCTGCAGAAGACGAAAGACTTGGTATCGCTGTATAGCCAAATTGTGTACACCTTATGTTTAACAGACCATTTGCACAAATCTTCTATGTTGTGCTAATACTGGCCTTCATACTGTGTTTCTCTGTGTTCCTTCCACGTTTCTCATGTATTTCCACAACGCTGTATTATTTGCTTTCTCTGAGATCAAATCTATCTCCCTGCTATTTGACCTTTGATGCCTATGAACATTTCTCTACATAACATATACTACTGATAAAGCTTATCAGTAGCACACGCCACAATAACAGTGAACATATCTCAAGTTTGGTAGAAAATTGGCAAAAGGAATTCTGAACTTTATTACAAAAATGAGCGCCAAATTGATCATTATTATTGTTATGATGTTATCTATGCCTGTTTGTAAAAATTAGTGTGTGTACAACATGAATGCTGCGCGGCCACCAACTTGACAAAAATGTGAAAATTACCCCATTTTAAAGAACGATGATTATATTTGCTATATATACATATATAAACTGAGATCATGTACATACTGATTTAATAATACTGACTGACATTTGAAGGGATCAAGCCTAAAACCATCTGACAAAGACCACTGACCAGATTGTTTAGTTAAGAGGAAAGATAATGGATAATTTAATATTTGTATATTTGTTTGATGTCACACAAAATCGAAGACTTAGAAGCGAAAACCGACAAACTGGTGGAAGAAACAGCAAAGGCAGGACTCCAGGTGAACACAGACAAGACGGAGGTTATGAAAATAACCAACCAACAACAACAACAGCAACAAAAGCAGCAACATCCACCGCAAATCACCATCAACGGGAGGGATTTGATGAAAGAGGTTACTTCATTCACTCATCTAGGGAGCATTGTCTCAACCACAGGAGGAACCGACGAGGATGTCAAATCGAGAATCGGGAAGGCGAGAAACGCATTCATCAATCTGAAACCAATCTGGAAATCTTCGTCACTCAGCCTGCATCAACAACAAAATTCGGATTTTCAATACAAACGTCAAGTCAGTCAGTTCTTCTATACGGATGGATCAGAAACTTGGAGGGTCACAAAGAATATTTCCAACAGCCTGTTGCAGACCTTTATCAACAACAGCTGTCTTCGCTCTATACTGAAGATCAGATGGCCGCCGGAAAGAATCACCAACAAGAAACTATGGGAACGAACAATACAAGAACCAATCGCCCAACAAATATGCAGGAGAAAGTGGAGATGGATTGGACACTCGCTGAGGAGGCCGTTGGGTGACATCGCGCGTCAGGCCATCACCCGAGTGGAACCCGGAAGGGAAGCGGCGAGTGGGTCTTCCAAGGGTGACATGGAGGAGATCATGTGAAGAGGAGTCGAAACAGTATGGACTAACATGGATGCAGGTGAAAAGTACAGTAGAAGGCAGAAGCAAGTGGAGACGTGTAGTTGAAGCCCTATGTTCCACTAGGAACCCAAGGGAACAATAATAATAATACTCAGGAATATAACAAACAAACTCCTCCGAGTAATTAGACTTCGTATCCTCACACCCCACGAGCTCAAAGGAATCCGTTGTTCCAAGTGGTCTCCTTAGACGACCACACTCTTTGATGTTAACAGGTGAGAAGTAAAAAGAAGAAGAAATATCAAACATTACTGAGACTCTCAAGCGAAATATTTACCCAAAGAACTTCGTCAGCAAAATGAACACTGACATTAAATATGGTCGAAGACGTATCCCAAAGAATATGAGCCTCAACACCTGTCATTTGCATATAGATCAGAAACGTTAGACGATATCAGAAGAGTACTCAAAAAGCTTGACATCAGAGTTTTCTTCAAGACATCAGACACACTGCAAAACAACAATGTACATATAAAAGACTGAATCCCTAAAGATTCTCTATCTAATTGTGTCTATAAAATAAAATGCTCGGAATGTGATGCGACAAACATCAGACAAACCTCGCCAGAAAGAAATCAAAATCAGAAGAAATGAACACCGTAGAGCCACCTCTGTCCAACCACTGAGTAATCCAGTTGTGAACTAGAAAAGCTTGAAAAATCATCTGCCATAACTTGTCTAAACGCTGTAGAATCAGGCCGCAAAACTGATTTTGACAATACTGAAATCACCCAGAAAAACGATATCAGAAATCACAAACAACGTCTCACACCATCAGAAGCACTTCATATCAAGTGGAATCCAAATTGTCTGATGAAAAGGAATGATGGACTAAAATAAAATTTGACCTGGTTACAACACCCACTCACCCCATCATGATTTGACAAAATCAACTCGATTGTGATAAGCAATTTCATTATACATAAACACATGTAAACAATCTACACTTGGTTTTGTTATCTTTACCAATTGACCATCTTGACAACAACGCAAAAATGACCCCATGCTGAGGAACGGTGATTAAGTTGTTATTTAATATAAGCTGACTGAATTTTGTAAATTCTGGTTTAATGTGACTACTTTGATAAAGCTATTAGCAGCAGCATTAAACAGCGAAAGGTCAGTAAAAACCACAACAATATCGTTTCGCTCTTTTTCATTCATTCACTGGGATATACAAAAACTTCTTTATTATAAATAGATATTTATTAGTGTACGGTGTTTTCTTGACTGTCCTTTAACAAGGCATAAGTTCTAATCAATAAAACACAAAGTTGCTCTATAATGAATGACAAAACTTTAGCACTGTTTATGGGTAGTGGTCATAGTAGTGGTGGTAGTAGTAGTAGTAGTAGTAGTAGTAGTAGTAGTAGTAGTAGTAGTAGTAGTAGTAGTAGTAGTAGTAGTAGTAGTAGTAGTAGTAGTAGTAGTAGTAGTAGTAGTAGTAATAGTAGTGATCAAAGGATAGTAATTTATAATTATGGTGAGGTCATCAGGTGTCTAGGTTTATCGGTTAAGTAAGTATATATACATAAATATGAAAATTCTTATTGTAACGTTACATTAAGAGATTCATAAAAGTAACAAGTACACATGCACATTACCCTCATATAAATTACATGTACCACCTAAATATTCATTGAAACTTTAATTAATTCTAACAGTAGAATCATATGAATACACGGATAAACATCTGAAGTATTATAACACTATATACTACTGATTCGGATATGATAGAGAAGATTTGTAGCTCAGGTGGATGATATTGATGTGGTTGTGTTCTCTGAGCTAGCTGGATAGTTAATTTGCGAAGCTTTCATCGCCCAACTAGGCGACATCTTCAGCGCATACTTCAATTCGATGAAGTGAGCTTTTACAAGTCTCCACGAGTTTATTAATCATCTCTCCCGGTGACCTTGAACGTCATTAGTTGTTTTTGTGTGTTTTCACACGTTATAGGTTACTTGTATTGGAACTGATTGTTTCTTTGACTTGAACTTTGACCCTTTGTGTGTGGGGTTTCTTTCTTATCGGTTGATTAATTTTGTCAATCTCGATGTGTCTATTGATTGATGATTCAATGGAATACCAGGCAGGCTTCTAAAAGTTCTCTAGCATTCTTGGTGTTTTTTCTTCTGTCTAATATATGAACGTTGTCCCAGTCGAATTGATGTTCGTCGTCGTCTGTATGCAGTGAGTGATATGAGGGAGTGGATGTCTTGTCTTTTGACGGTTAGTTTATGTTCAGGGATGAGAAGACAAAGGGGATGTCCGCTTTGGCCAATGTAGAGTTTTTCTCAGTTGTTACAATTTATTTTGTAGATGATGTTGGTTTTATCTTCTTTCGCTCTTGGGTCTTTTGGTTGACACACAACCAGCTGAGTGAAGTGATTTTGTTGGTTTGTGTGCAACATCAATTCCTATAGGTTTGAAGAGTCTTGTAGTGATTTCTGATATATCCTTTATATATGGTAGGGCGATTTTGTTTGTGCTTTCCTTGGGGGCTTTTGGTTTGATAGGTTGGCATGTTGATGAAGTTCCGTGGATATCCATTCTTTTGAAAGACGTCTATGAGATATCTTTCGTCAATTTTCCTTAAGGTTGGAGTGCTGCAATGAGTCCTGGCTGGCCCTCTTGTATAGTGTTTGTATACAATTCCTTTTGTGTGTTCTTGGATTGTTGCTGTTGTAATTCAGTATTTGGTCTGTGTGAGTTGATTTTCTATAAACTTGAGTTTCTAATTCCCCGGTGGTTGTTCGCTTGACTAAGACATCCAAAAATGGGATTTTTTCTCGGATTCCCCTTCTCTTGTGAATTTGATGTCGTTGAAGACGTTGTTTATTAAGTTGTGAGTCTTAATTTACTAGTTTCTTTTGATTATTACAAATGTGTCATCTACGTAACGTATCCAAATCTTGGGTTTTATCTTTGGTAGGATTATGAAAACATAATTAAACAAATTAACTATCCAGCTCAGAGAAAACAACCACATCGAATTACTACTGATTAATTGGAACGAGTAGTTTTATACCCCACACAATCAACCACGGGGTTCTAAGTTATCTGGCTGTCAGAGATTACTTGAAACGGGGTGTATCGCTGATGAGGTCAACCGCAAACAAGTGAAACGATCGATGTAGTAAGCTAACTATATCCACCACTACAGTGTCTGTGTCCAAGCTTGGCACTCCTATACCAACACAACGTTTTTTGCAAAATACGATGGGGCAGATTCTTTGAAGTTGGATAAATTCCACGAATAATCAGTTTAGTCCACTCCAGACGCCAGAGTAGTTTTGAAATCAACACAGTTCGTCAGATCTCTCAAATCTCTAGCCGAACACCCCGTGGTCCTACCTCAAACGCCCATCATCCTGATTATTCACACAGTACCAATCTTCACCCAAAGATAAGACCTCCATTATTCTACTAGCATTGTGGTGCTTGACACTTAGTAAAATCTTTTTCGTATGAGCAGTACCGATGCCAAGACTGAAAAAAATGTTGGACACAAAGGCAGTTTAAGCCAGCAACACACATACATACACAACATCCATCATCGGCGAGTTATTCCAGAAGATGTCCCTAATCAATACCTGCCCGCCAAAAATTCTTCATTGTTCGGAATTTATGTCCCCAAAATGGCACTACGCCTGTTTCCCAATCAAAGTGATCTGTGACATATGCTTTATTGCCTCATGTTGACGTTGAAATTCTCCGCCTCGAACAACAAAATGTTCTCAAGCCTGGTTTTTCGTTGTACCACGGCTTGTCATGCACTGATGGGGAGGAAGCCGTGAGCTACGCATAAGACTTTGGCATCCCCAGAATTGTTCGATGTTGGAAAACGGTATGAAAACCAAATACTACGGCGTTCACCTTCTGACAGAAAAACAAGAAGCAGTGGTTTACCACCGGAAACCTTGGAACTAATACGTAAGAAGGATGCCACGAATGCTCAAGACCTTCCAGTAAATAACAGAATATTTCTTCGACGTTGGTAAGCCAGATGCAGTAAAACAACAGTGAGTTTCCAGGTTGACCACACCTCTTCTAAGTGAGGAGGTGATAGATTATCCTTTCCACGCCTACTTCATTACTTTCGGTCTCGCCACCTTGTGTTTTCTCGCTTAAGTAGAGCGGGTGGTGGTGTCAGATAGCTGTCGTTTAGTGTAGTATACATTGTTGGAGTAGACAACCGCCGATATTCATGATTAAGACATCTGTGTCCAGATCGGCATCCGCATTCAGCTTGTTTATCTTACAAAATAATCTTCAAACTACACATGAAGCAAAAGAATACTTAAAATGACAGCTGAAAAGATCAAATCGTCTATATTAAAAAATATCTTCACCCAATAAAATACTCACCTGTAATTGCAATTGCTTTTCCACCAGAATATGAACTAGTCCCATAACCGCCAAGGATAACATTCGGTAAAGAGCGATTCATTGCTTTACACATAATATATGATAGAATAGCACCAGATGATCCAATTAAAGCACCGACTACAGTCATTAAACTATTATTCAACATGAAACCTTCAGCGCATAATGCCCAGCCAGAATAACTATTCAACACTGTAATTACAACAGGCATATCAGCACCTAGATTATGACAGAAAGGAGAAAAAAGGGAGATGGGATACAACATTCAAGAAGAAGAAGAATTGAAAAATAAATCAAGGGAAGAATATCTCTGACAGTACAGATAGTGTAGTGAGAGCTGGCTGCCAGCCAAAGTTGGTAGACAGTAATTGACTTCAGTGTTTATGTCCCCAATATTGGTGGTAAGAAAATGAGAACAAAGGCTTTGCGTAGGCGGATATAGTTGGCATATAGATGAACTGACACAGCCACAAGAGATGCAAGGTTAACTTTCTGTGAGAAACAACCAATCAAAAGACTGTATTTTCTACTAACAATAATCTACAATAATGTACATCAAAATCTATAAATATGTGTTGATTTTCCTTAATAAACGTTCTATTGCCTGGCCCTTGTCTTCTGTTGTTACAACAGTAGGGAAATACGTTAGGTAGAACCCAGTTAACTGGGGTAGATGTTTCATTTATCATTCTGACCCACACTTATTGTGTAATGTAGGTTAGTGATACTGTCAAATAACCTGGAATAAAGTAGGACGGGGCATGATTGGGACATGGAACCCACTGAGTACAACTTGAGTACTTAAGCCAATGGGCTGCATCTCTAATACGGTATATGAGCTGATGGTTGTAGACATACCTTCTCAATGAATATCGTAATTGGAGTCCCAGAAAAATATTTTGAACATTTGAAAATAAGCGCACAACAATACTGTTGGGATCAAAAATGTGAGGAACATAATAGACAATTAACTGACTTTACCAAGATGAAGTTTCTTTGGTGAAAAATCAACTTAACCGTACAACGAATCACAGAGATGACAGTCTGGAGATCCAAAATGAATGGACAGGTTCAGAATTTTATTGCCGGACGGCGGTTGGTAAACACCTCAGCAATTGCAATGCATGCATTAACACGCAACCACACAAAGGGGTGGGTGGGATAGGGTTAAAATTGTAAGAAGTAATCTAGGTAAGTGGGGAGAGTGGTTGATTACTGTGAACCTTCCTTCATTGAGTCTACACCCAACATATGCAATCGGAATAACTCATCACCCATACCGGATATATGGAAAATACTACTACTAGTAATCATCAAATCAAGAGATGAGAATTAGTGGAATCATATAAACGAATTTAGAAAGTTGTGTGAATAATTCCTTGATATAATTATTAGCAATAAATTGTGCTCAAAACGTCAACAGTAAATATTACTGTGCAAGACTGAGACTTTATCAAAATAAATTTTACCCAGAATGGAATTATACTCTACCACAGTGCACAAGTTTTATTCTTACATCAAACACCTGTATCAGTTTAGTGAGGTCATAACTTTATTTAATGTAGTTGTGATCTCTGACCTGGATGGTTTGTAGTTGAGAAGCTTCCACTGCCCCTCCCCCGCCCACTAGGAACATCTTCAGCGCATACACTTCAATCTGATGAAGTGACCTTTCAGATTTCTTCACGAGTTTATAAGTCATCTCTGCTGGAGGTAACCTTGAACGTGATTGGTTGTTTTTGTGTTTTTTCGCACTCTCTGGGCTACTTGTATTGGTGCTGATTATTTCCTTGACTTGAACCTTGACCCTTTGTGTGTGAGATTTCTTTCTTATCGATTGGTAAATTTTGTCTATGTCGATGTGTCTATTGACTGACGATTCACTGGAATACCAGACAGGCTTCTAAAAATTCTTTAGCATTTTTGGTTTTTCCTCTTTCTAATATATGAACGTCGTCCCAGTCGAACTGATTTCCGTGGTTGTCTGTATGTAATGATGTGAGGGAGTCGATTTCATGTCAGGTCATAACTAATGTCACAGACGATGAGGGTTTCATCTAACTACCTTGTGTATTATTATTATATTATTATTTCCTTTAATTCCTAGAGGAACATAGGGCTTCAGCCATGCGTCTCCATTGCGTTCGGTTCTCTGCTGTAGTTTTCACCTGGCTCTAAGTCTGCCCACACGCTTTCAATTCCTCTTCACATGATCTCCTCCAGGTCACCCTTGGACGACCAACTCGTCGCTTCCCTTTCGGGTTCCACTCGAGGGCTTGTCTAGTGATGTCACTTGCTGGTTTCCTCAGAGTGTGTCCAATCCATCTCCATTTCTTCCTGCCTATTTGTTTCACGATCGGTTCCTGGTTGGTTCGCTCCCAGAGATCTTTGTTGCTGATCCTCTCCGGCCATTTGATCTTGAGTATTGAGCGAAGGCATTTGTTAATGAAGGTCTGTAGCTTGTTTGAGCTGCTCTTTGTGACACGCCAAGTCTCTGATCCGTATAGTAGTACTGACTTCACATTGGAGTTGAAAATCCGGATCTTATTTTTGACGCTGAATGCTGTTGACCTCCACATAGACTTGAGAGAAATGAAAACTTGTCTTGCTTTTCCGATTCTGGCTTTGATATCCTCGTCAGTTCCTCCTGTAGTTGAGACGATGCTTCCCAGGTAGGTGAAAGAAGTTGTTTCCTTCAGGTTCCTCCCGTTTATGCTGATTGTTGTCGGTTGTTGCTGTTGATGTTGGCCAGGAATCTTCATTACCTCTGTTTTGTCTATGTTCACTTGAAGTCCTATCTTTGCTGCTTCTTCTGCCAATTTGTTGCTTTTCACTTGCATATCTTCCAGTTTGTGGGAAATCAGACATATATCATCGGCGAAATCCAAATCCTCCAAGGCTTTTGTGTCGGTCCATTTTATGCCTGTTCCCTCGTTGGCTGCCGTTGCCTGCCGCATTATCCAATCAACTGCAATCAGGAAGATCATTGGTGACAGTAGACAGCCTTGTCTCACTCCCGTCCTCACTTCGAAGGATTCCGTGAGCCTCCCGTTGTGGATTACTTGGCATGCAGCGTTGTCATACAGCTGTTGGATGAGATGAATAATTGTCGGCGGCACCCCGTAGTAGCGAAGTAGTTGCCAAATCACCTCTCGATCGACGCTGTCGAAGGCTTTCTGAAAATCGATGAAGTTGAGATAGAGAGGTGACTGCCATTCCAAACTTTGTTCAATGATAATCCGTAGGGTGGCGATTTGGTGAATGCATGACTTGTTCCTCCTGAATCCGGCCTGTTCCGGACGAAGTTTTTCATCTAGGGCTTGTTTAATTCTCTCCAGGATGATGCGACATAGTATCTTGCTTGGAATGGACAGAAGCATAATTCCACGCCAGTTTTTACATTGACTCAAATCTCCTTTCTTTGGCAGTTTGAATAAGTATCCGTTCTTCCAATCCTCGGGTACTTTGCCCTCTTTCCACACCTTCTCTAGTAGTGGCGTCATCAAGTCCGCTGTTGTCTCTGGGTCTATTTTCAAAGCTTCTGCTGGGATTCCATCTGGTCCTGGCGCTTTCCCAGCTTTTAGCATCTTGATGGCATTCAGGACTTCGGATTTCGTCGGAGGGTCGATGTTCATTGGTAGTTCTGCTTCCGTTGTTGGTATTGTTGGACGCGTTGTAGGTGGCGGACGATTTAGAAGTCTTTTGAAGTGTTCAGCCCAGTGCTTCCTCTGTTCCACCTCTTTGGTGATTGACTTTCCATTGTCGTCCTTTATTGGCTTAATCTGTGTCGAACTTTTGCCCGAAAGGTGCCTAGTTGTTTGGTATAGTGTAGCGAGGTCTCCTTTGCCTGCAGCTTGTTCTGCTTCGTTTGCCATGGTTTCACAATATTTTCTTTTGTCTTCCCTGGCACTTTTCTTCACTCTTTTGTTCAGTGCATTGTAGCTTGCATTCAACTCCTGTTTCTGTTGCTCGTCGGTGCACTGGATAATCTTTTGTTTCGCCACCCTTCTCTCTTCTATTAGTTTCCAAGTGTCCGTAGAGAGCCACTGTTTGTCCTGTCTCTTTTTTCTGCCTAGGACTTCCATGCAGGTTTGACTCCACACCGTTTTCAATTTGTTCCAGTGCTTTTCGACGCTGACCTTTTCGTTGGTGTTGATTTGTGTCTCGGCTTTTTCCTTTATGTTTGCAATGAAGATGTCCTTTGTAGCCTGGTCCTTCAGCTTTTGAGTGTTGAACTTGGCTTGTGGTCTATCTGCAGCTCCTGTTTCCCTGAAAGCTTTTAATTTGATTTGGATTGTCCCTTGTACGAGGTAGTGGTCTGAGCCAACGTCTGCTCCTCTTCTTGCTCTTGTGTCCAGTAGGCTGCGTCTCCACTTCCTCGATATTGTGATAAAGTCAATTTGGTTTTTGGTTCGCCCGTCTGGTGACACCCATGTAGCCTTGTGGATATCTCTGTGCTTGTAAACACTGCCACCAATCACTAGTTCGTTGAAGGCGCAGAAGTCGGCGAAGAGTTCTCCGTTTTCATTCATTTCTCCAAGAGCTTCTCTACCCATGATGAGTTCTCTTCCTGTATTGTCTGGTCCCAGTTTGGCGTTCATATCTCCCATTAGTATTTTAATGTCGCCAGCTGGAGTATTGTCTATTGCTGCCTGTAGTTGTCTGTAAAATTCTTCTTTCGCTTCGAGGTCTGCGTTGTTGGTGGGTGCATAACATTGGATTATTAACACTTTTCTTCCTTTGGAGTTGAATCTGGCGGTCATTATCCTGGACGAGATCGCTTCCCATTGCATCAGGGCTACCTTGTGTACAGTTGTAAATTGTCAACGGTGGACTTTAACGAACCAGCAGATCTTTTAGTTCTTTGCTGAAATGTATTCCTAATGTACCCTTCACTTTCAATGACACCATCTACAAACAAAAGGATGGCATTGCAAAAGGATCTCTTTTGGGTTCATTGATAACATACTGTTTCATAACTAGCATTGAGAACGGACCGTGAAAGTCTACCGCCGAAAATTTGCTACTGTACACAAGGTAGGTAGGTGACACTTTCATCATTTGTGACAATAGCTAATTGCTACAGGTATTTCACAGCTGAAATAATCACCTTGAAGTGCACAATTTTCAAATTAATCTTCAAATTCTAAATTGGGTCGTTTAATCAATACAACTTCTTTTGAATTGCCAACACTGACCACATCGATTGAAATGAAATTAACCTGAGATCCCCTGAGAGAAGTCTTAGCGATGAATGGTACATTAGACTTTTCCAGACTTCTGACTGTTATGGAGAAAACTTTTATTTTGACAAAGTCACACACAGTGGTGTTATCCAGTAAGTAACACTTACTGATGATGACGTTTGGAGTAGAATTTATTACTGCTTACAATCATATCAAGGTACTACTCACATAACTTTCTTGCTACGTCTACATACACAAGTAATTTATGCATCTTTAGTGAACTGTAATTTCATTGTGATCTTACTTAACAAATCGATATTATTTAAAAAACACTAATATTGGTATTGACTACTATTCTAGAATATTCTGTCTACATAAACATATGTATAACTGTAAAGCCAGACGACGAAATTATCGAAAAGATATTCTTTGCTGCTCAATTATTTTGTTTTTTCTAGATGTCTGAGTAAAAATTGATTAGACATTTGAATAAAATCAATATAAGACTTGCGTGAAACATTGAGGAAGATAAAGTACATTCGGAAATAATATTAGTGTTATCAATAAATATAATTTGATGAGAAATAAGACGAGTGTTGTTACTCAATAAGATGGGAAATAAGATGCTTTTTACAGTAAATAAATAAATAACTTGTTAGAATATTATAATGTGAATTGAAGTGAATACATTTTAACATTATTTATTATCCTCCTCTGATTTGACTGATGGGAATAATATCTTCCATACATATCTCTGATATTTGCGTTGAGTCATATCTATCGCATGTGTTGGGTGCAGATTATTCGATGAACCAGGATTCAGTAATTAATCGCGCGCCCTCTCTCTCCACCTACTTATATTACTTTTTAGAATTTTAACCCTATCCCACCCACCCCATTGTGTGGTTGTGTATTAATGCATGCAGTGCAATTGCTGAGTTTGTTTTTCTAAATTACTCATCTGTCTTCGTGGGATCAATCATTCTAACGTTAGCTAAATTCTTATTTTATGACAGGTAATCCGACTACTCCTGATCAGCATAAAATTTTATCTATAATGCAATTATACTCTACCACAGTGCCCAAGTTTTATCCTTATATCAATAAGACTTCTGGCGGATTCTTCGACAGATCAACCCGGACACTTTGCCCAATAGCTTATCACTTAAAGTCGTCATACTTTAGGAAAGCACATAAGTAGAAATCGAATGGGTTCGACGCAGACGATAATTAGATAAATAACGAAGAAAATTAATACATGGACAATTAAAAGGTATAAATGGTTACAACAAATAGATCGCATAATTCGTAATTTTGAAAAAATGAAGAGTGATTACAGAATAAGTGAGTGTTCACCTTGATTACACAACAGACTGTTAAAGAAAAATAAAAACGATTCGGACAATGATAACTTGTAATTACAGATGAAGTAGTCAGAAAAATAATAAAATAATTTGGACAGTTATCAGTTTTAAAGGTTTAGGTGGATGGGGGTGAAGTAGTTTAGATAAATAGCAGTGACAGCTTACCACGAGTTTTCATGTACTCTAGAGTCTGACAGTCTCTTCCTGAGGATAATATTGCAACGGGAGAACAGACAGAATTCGCAGTTAGTTGTTTCATGAAACCACTTAAGGTGAGTATACTCACTCTCTTGGATAATCCATCCCACCCGTCTGCATGGTATTGCATAAAATAAGACATTGATTGAGAGGCTATGTGTTTTACCTCGGAGTTTGAATGATGTTTCAGTGTATCAGAGAAACTAACTTTACTGAAGTAGAATTTCAACAACAACAACAATAATAATCACAGCAATGCCTTATTTTAACAATCAATTTTTCTACCTAAAAATACGCATCTTTTCTCATGAAGAAACATTCTAAGCCTTAAAGTCATGCGCTACGTTTAAGACTTCAAACCTGATGACTGTGAGACACTCAGGTAGTTAAAAACAGGCAGACTTAGTTGTTAAGTGTCTAACAAACTGAGCAATGACAACACTAAGTAGTACAACAACAGACCTAAACGATGAAATGAAACTGTCTGTCTGTTTTCGACATAGAACTTTGCACCGATGTGCAGCAGTTCAAGTCGCCACACTCTCTTCTTGTAGCACACAAAGCAAGAGAAGAAAGTAGGAGAAGTGCAAATTAGAGACAGTGGACAGAGGTGTGAGACAAAGGAATAGTAATAACGAAGAACAAAACAGTTTCATTGGAAATCATAAGTCACGAGGAGTGGATGCATCTCCGCCAGCCAGCCATTGAGAACAATTTTGAGCCATGTCACCAATTGTTTCCAACCATTGGTTTTTCCTGTCCCGAGGACCCCAACCAGGAAGTCTACACCTCCCTACGTGGCTTAAACTAACTGTTGTTGTTGAAAAAGACAGAAGAATAGCTGGTTGGTGTTAAATAACCAACTATCCTATAAAATTCATTAGGAAGATCAGTAAAGGACAAGAGCAAATTACAAATAATTGTGAAGCTAATAATGATAACATAAATAAGAAAGAATATAAGGCATCTATAGTAGTTTCACCATATAAGGAGTGGACATCTGAGATCCTAAGCAGGATCCGTAATAAACCAGGAATTAGAGTGGCATTCAAACCTAAAATATCACTCAGCTATGACAAGCTCTGTAGGCTAAATGACCATGTAGGTCGACCCAATTAAACAAATTAATATAATTTACAAAATACCCTACAATGACTGTAAGTGAGGTCAACTACATAGGTCACACTAGTAGTTCGGCAGTAGTCAGATGAGAATTGACCTAAGGCAAGAATGGCTGAGCCCAAGAAGATAAGTAATTTAAAAAACAAACTCAGCAATTACACTGCATGCATTAACACCCAACCACACAATGGGGTGGGTGGGATAGGGTTAAAATTCTAAACAGTAATAAAGGTAGGTGGAGACAGAGAGAGAGAGGTGGTTGATTACTGAATCATGGTTCACCAAGTGAATCTACACCCAACACATGCAATAGAAGTGATTCAATGCAAATACCAGAGATATGGAAGATATTATCACCATCAGTCAAATCAGTGAAGGATAATAAATAATGTTAAAATGTGTTTCATCAATTCATATTATTACACTCTAACAAGTTGCTTTACATTATACTGATTTTATTCAAATGTCTAATCATCAATTTCTACTCATGTATATAAATGAAGCAAGAAAGTTATGTGAGTAGTGCCTTGATGAGATGATTATGAGCAGTGATAAATTGTGCTCAAAACGTCATCATCAGTTAATATTACTGCATAAACACCACTGTGTGAGACTTTATCAACATGAGTTTTATCCAAAATGGAATTATACTCTACCACAGTGCCGAAAATTTTATCCTTATATCAATAATACAGTTTAAAACAGACTCTAGTGAGTATCAGATAAGCAAATGAACATTACAATTGAGGTACAGATGTAACTTATTGTTTTAAGTGCTCAGCTTTTATCATAAAAGGGTCCTGTTTCACCCACTTTATTGTGAATAACTGGGCTAGTGTTATCACCACATTCAAAATCTGCTCCGGATACCTGTATATATCAGCATTTAGACGAAAGATTCTTTATGATCAACCTCAATAGAACAACTTACCTCCAATAGCAGCTGTCAAAGTCAGCCCAGATATACCACCAGCTATACCAGCCCCACCAATAAGCAGAGCGAGTCCAGGTCCGACTGCTTCAGGACCAAGTGACAGTAGACCAATCAGACAACCAGCGGATAATGTTGCTAAACTAGCATTCAGTGCATTTCGCATTGGTAATAACAGGGGAGTTGAATGTAATAAGCCTGAAAGAAAGTTGGTTAAAATAATGCCATACAAATTAGTCTGTTATATGAATACAAGAAGGTAATATCAAAATAATAATATCTCCAGAATTAAAATTAAAATCCTAAAACAAATAATAAGTCATTACTCTTATTTAATTCTTGCTGTACTAATGTCTAGTCAGTGAGTGTGTTTGGTGGACTAGCAGTGGAATTCAGGATGCGTGTTTCATTGTGGTCTGGATGTATCTGCATTCCCCAGTGAGTGAATGGTAGTGTTTTCACTGAGGCTCGGACCCAGCACCCACTGTTTCAGATGCCATAGTGTTATACATTAGACTACTTGTGCTTCGGTCCCATTAATCGATGGGAAAATCAAAATTGAATTAGAATAAACAACAGACTGGGCGAAGAAATATTCTTTTTTTCAATTAGCTCCTCATCATTGGTTCTACACTAATATGTAAATATGAAAAATGATTTACCAATCAAGTGGTGATTTTAGTTAATAGGTTTTAGGTGTAGGGGGGATGAAATTAAGAGGTTAAAGGTCATCAAAACAATTGTCTGACAGATGTTAGGAACAAGATATCTAAGTCAAAAGACAGTTACAAGGGGATGGGAAAAATCGTTTTTAAAAACTTAATACATATTAATTAACTGGCCAAGGTTGGCTAAGAAAGGAGTTGTACAAATTCCTTTTGAACACACATTGATTTGGCTTGTTCAGATGAATTCTGATTGCCTCTACTGTATGAAAATGTCGTACTCGTACACTATGCGGTGATAGGTTGGGTGATATACGATAAATAACTTTAAACGCTTTGTTAATGTCACAATTTGATGTACAGTATCGACAAGATGAGCTAGGATTGAGCTGCGTATAGCTTTATTGGAACCTTTGCCATACCAAGATCGGAGGTGTTCAGAAATTCAACGACGAAATTGCCTAATCGTACGCCCTATGTAACAAGCTGTGCACGGGCAGTTAAACTGGTAAATACACACAGGTAATAGCTGACACCTGTCGCACAAGAGGTGGACTTTGAAATGCTGGATATCGGATTCCAGCCTCAGTGGGAACGCCACCACGCACTGGGGAATGCAGGTACATCCAAATGATGAGTCCTAAGTTAGACATCCCAGCTGGATCCCACTGCTAGTCATCGTTCACGAAATTATCTCAAGTTAATCCGCAGTTATCGTCGAAGCGGCCTCACAAGGAGCCTACATGTCAAAACAGAGGTCGAACATTTCGGTTCAGTCGATCTGAAGAAAATTAAATCTGAATTAAAAAGGTGAGTCTGTTTGTTGAATATATGAGGTCAATATGAGATCTAAAGACTCCTTAAATTCCTTTTACTGTGGAATATACACACTGAACTATACGGGGGAAAACAAAAAGACGGTTGCAGAGAAGAAAATTTTCTTCCGAAGAAGTCATCAACTAGACTATACATTTATGTATTTATAGTGAAATAGGTTAGAAAGTGGCAGAAGCATTTCCGTTCGACGCTGAATTTATAATGAATAACAAGATGAACATTATGCTATTCAAATAGGCATTAGAAACGTAGTACTAACAAAAATAAACAGGAAGTTCGGATAATAATTGTTGAGAAAATTAGGTCTCTAGTGTTTCAGCTATGCTCAGATATCTTGATCTCACACAACCACACAATAGGATGGGATAAGATGACAGTTTTAAAATCTAAAGTAGCTTGGTGAAGGGAGAGATTGATAACGGAAGCTTTGTTTATCGAATCAACTGCAAACATATGTAATGGGAATGATTCAACACTTGTCCAGGCGGATATCTGGAAAATTCTACTACCTCTACGACGACAAGTAGGAGAGAACAAAGAAGACTATAAAACTCAAGTTTCTAAGTTGTGTGATTATAATTGATGATACGATTATGAACAGCAATAAATTTTGTTTGAAAATTTGTCATCCAGTAAATAATACTGTTTCAGTGACTGCGTGATATATCTAATAAACGAATTAATATGGAATTGACTTTATCGTCACCGCTAATATCAAAAAGCTACTATTATCAATCCTGGTTATTATTATTATTTTTGTTCCCTTGGCTTCCGAATGGAACATAGGGCTTCAACAATACGTCTTTACTTTCTTCCATTTTCTGCCATCCTCTTCGGCTGTGTCCACGATTGCCCATAATCTCTCATCATTTCGTCACACGAACTCCTCCATGTCACCCTCGCATCCATGACCCACCCATCGCTCCTCAATTGGATTCCTGATTATCTATACCCTGTAATATTATTTTTCAATTTTTGTTTTGACTTTTGTCAAGTAATTTCGGGGAGTATTGTACCAAATGCTAAGAACGACACATTGTATCATCTAAGTACTGTTTTGGAATAAAGCAAATCACTATTATTAATATTAATTTGTCTAGCCCGTTACACTACTGCTGACCTCGGCCTTGCACATAACTGAGACAAATATCCAGTGTTCAGACGATTGTAATTTACCAATCAAGAACTGTTTGACACCGGTAGTTCTAATTCCCCTTGATTTGTCGTCTGAATATTATGAGATTCTAAAAGAAACTGTGGTGTATTTTCATCTTGAAATGTGTAATTTGTAAAATTTGTGGATTGCATAATGTGTAATTTCGGAAAAATAAAGAGGAATTAAGGGATAAGCGAGAGGTCAAGTTGACTGTGTAACAGATTGTTAAAGAAAAATAAAATAATTTGGACAGTTATAATTTTCAAAGGTTTAGGGGACGTAGGAGAGGGTGGGCGAAGTAGTCCGGTTTATTTATTCATTTAACGATGGTCAAGGTATGGAAAGTGGTTGTACAAATTTCTTGTGAACACACAGGTTAGGCTTCTTCAGACGGATTTCTACGGCTTCAGCTGTATGTAGAAGACGAACTCGTACAGCAAAATTAAGATTAGTGGGAATACGATAAATAATTTTTAACTGCTACATTTACATCAACTTTATGCTGACTATCTACAAGGTGTGCTAAAACAGACAGCTACGAATAGATCTTGTTTGTCCCTTGCTTAACCATGCTGGATGACGATGTTCGGAAATACGATGATGAACCCGCCTGGTTGTACGCCAAATGTAGCTGGCACCAACCAGCTGCAATCAAACTGGTGGATACACATAGACGAGAAAATCTGTTATGTAATCGGCTTGAGCACTCGCTTATGTAATGGATGACGATTGAAAGCTTTTATTATTTCCTTATAAACAAAACTTTCTTATTGAGTTAAGACTTGTCTCAATACATTTATAAACTAAATAAAATTCATCATCACTTTTACCGAGGACAAAATGAAAATTTCTTGAATGCATATAGTAACTGTAAGACATTGCATAACAGTGTCCAGAATCATCTGGAAGATCTGTTAAAATGTCATTACCACCAGGAAAGGCGTAAACTGTAATCATTTCTTTTTAATTAACAATGTGATGGTTCTTATTACTTAATTAGTATAGTCACGGATTGATATCAGTTATAGGAACATTGAAAACTAGGAATTACTGGGCAGTTGTTTCCTCCCAGTTTGCGGCTCTTCATTAGTACTAACCCATGAACCCACCGGGATTCGAACTTAGAACCCTTGGGTTACGAGGCGAACTCCTTAGTTTCAGTGGCTCTCTAGGTGATATCAGGCAGTAGTTCAACTTGAAGTCAATCAAATCCCAAGAAACTAATACTTGAAAATTATTCTGATAATCGTTAGCGACTGGCTACAGGACGAATTACCCTAGAGTTCTAGTGAGAAGTCGTGACCGGTGGAGTCTACCAAGTCAGGTAAGAAATCAGTTATTCGCCAGTGACACGGGCTGGCGGCTTCGCTATGTTTATATCGCGAAGTGGCAGAAGTTGAAATTCGTGAGTCAGTGGACAGAGTCCCTGTGGCTGAATGGTCTGCGAGCTCACCCTTTAGCTGAAAAGGCCTCGGTCCGAACACTAGTGAATGATTTTGATGTGTTTGTGTTCTCTGAGCTAGCTGAATAGTTAATTTGCGAAGCTTTCACCGCCCCCTACTAGGCAGCATCTTCAGCGCATACACTTCAATTCGATGAAGTGAGCTTTTAGATTTCTCCACGAGTTTATAAGTCATCTCTTCTGTTGGGTGAACTTGAGCATGATTGGTTGTTTTTGTGTGTTTTCAAATCCTCTATGCTACTTGTATTGGAACTGATTGTTGCTTCCTTGACTTAAACTTTGACCCTTTGTGTGTGTGTGTGTGTGTGAGATTTCCTTCTTATCGGTTGATAAATTTTGTCTGTGTCGATGTGTCTATTGATTGACGATTCACTGGAATACCAAACAGACTTCTAGAAATTCTCTAGCATTCTTGATGTTTCCTCTGTCTAATATTTGAACATTGTTCCAGTCGAATTGATGTCCATGGTTTTCTGTATTCAGTGAGTGATATGAGGGAGTGGATATCATGTCATTGGACGGCTAGTTTATGTTCATGGATACGAAGACGAAGGGGAAAGGGGAAACACCAAGAATGCTAGAGAATTTCTAGAAGTCTGTTTGGTATTCCAGGGAATAGTCAATCAATAGACACATCAAGATAGACAAAATTTATCAACCGATGAGAAAGAAACCACACACACAAAGGGTAAAAGTTCAAGTCAAAGAAACAATCAGTTCCAATACGCAGGTAGCCTAGAGGGTGTGAAAACACACAAAAGCAACCAACTACGACGTTGTTCAAGGTCACCAGGAGAGATAACTAATAAACTCGTGGAGAAATCTAAAAGCTCACTTCATCGAATTGAAGTGTATGCGCTGAAGATGTCACCTAGTAGGGCGATGAGAGCTTCGCAAATTAACTATTCAGCTAGCTCAGAGAACACAAACACATCAAAATCATCCACCTAAGCTACAAATTTTCTCCATCATAACTAGTGAATGAGTTTTGCTAAAGAGTCTCGAACGATGATGAAACAGCTGTCCAGCACTCCCAAGTTTTCCAATAGCCAGTATAAATAGCGTTCCCTTAGGTTCCTAGTGGAAAATCCTGTTATCTGCAATCCTTTTTAGTTCGCTCCACGGTTGCTATAAACTTTAAACTCCTCCATGTCACCCTTGGGAATCAAAACTGTCATTTTTCATTCTCATACCAATTGAAGGCCTAGCTGGCTTATAATGTCACTCAACGATCTCTCTACAGTATGTCCATCCAGTCCATCCCCATTACCTTCTACATATTTGTTGTGCGATAGCTACTTGTTGGTCGGTGTTAGAGTTTCTAGTTGATTAACCTTCCCTTCCGGTTATCTTACCTTCAATATGCAGGCAGAGAAGGCAGCTGTTGATGCAGGCTTGAAGCAGCCAGTTCGAAGTGCTTTTCTTGACGCTCCAAGTTATGAAAGACATGTCCTCAGGTATTGAGTAAAAGCCAACTGGTATTAACAGGTGAAGTTGTATTAAACGAACGAGTGATTTTTCTCTTCATTTCTGCATCTTAGCTAAAGAGAATAAAAATGTAGGAGATCCACAACCAAAGCAGACGTAAATGAAGTTCACGCTTTAATTCATAATGACAATTATTATTATTATTAATCAACCACATACCTACCTTGTAGTTTACCAAAGGCTATTAATGATCCAGTTAGTGTAATGCCACCAATATATGTGCCTAAATAAGCAACAGTCTTCATCAGCTGTAGAGCACCATAGGATTCTGGAATTAGCAGTAGATGTGGAGCTTCAATCATATAATTTGCAATACATGTGAGTACAGCAGCAGCACCAACAAGGCTAAATTCGAAAAAAAAATAATAGACAAAGAAGAAGGGATTTTGTTGTATTCACTTTATCTTTCACTACTAATTATTTATGTCATCATCAACAACAAACATCATTCACTGGCAATAGGAGAAATTTGATCGAAGTTACCTCTTCCCCTAGAAATTTTAATTTCACCCACATCGTCTGTAGATTTACTGTTAATCCCAACAAAATCAGATAGGCAGGGCAGTTTGTGTATCTGTTTATATTCTATTTATGTTTAGAGTGTATTGTTATGCAAGCTGCTCCAGAGACTGATACAGTCCCAGCCCAATCTATCAACATCCCAGCCGGCGAACCCACGGCAGGAATATCTAACGAGGGATTCGTGCGCACTGGGAGTCAGCTTATCCTTCCTCATGAAATGAAATTCCCACCTCCATTCCACTTCCCACTGCATTAAAACACTACTTCTGACTGACTTTCATGACAAATGCCCTTCCAGGTATACGTGATTGGGTTACCAAGCAATTGACGGCCATTCGCTGAAAGTGAGTCACAAGTTACGATGGTCCGAGACCTCTCTCCAAACTTCCAGTGATCTCGGTCCTATGGGGCGCCGTATGCAATATTAGGCTGAGAAGGACATCCCGGCACTTCCTGTTCATTTGAAATGAGTAACCGGAGGCGAATAATGTTAATGCTTTCGGTAGCTCTTAGTCCCAGCTCAGCTGCCCGTAACCCTCCCCGGTGGTCAGCAAAAGGAGGTGTCAGCCGCGCGTTACTCATCTCCTGGTTTCCGCCATTACCCATTCTCAGGCGAACTTCTTCACACTGATACTCAGAGCACCGGACTCCACCAAATGACAAGGTAGCCAAATTGAGGCAGTTGGCTTATATATATATATATATATACATATATATATACATATATTTATACATATATATATACATATATATATATATATATAGTGTGCTGGTTTAAATGCCACCGTAATTCCAGCCTCACTAAGAATGCTACATAAGTCCTCTGATCTCCAATGTTTATATGAAAGTACTATTAAAGCTTTGATTTCCTTATTATTTATATTACTACTTCACCTCTCTTTTAAAATAATGGAAAGATCGCTTTTACTTAACCTTAAATCTTCATTGAAGGCTGAGTTTAACGACCCTAATTAATTAGCCCATAAACATAGTAGGTGCACTTTAGATGCCAATGTCGTCTTATGTCATATTATTGTCTTTAGTTTAGAAAGAGGTGCCAAACATGTTCGGTGTGCCTTCCTAGATTATACATCTGTCTTTGACTCTGTACCCAGGCTTCTTGGTAAACAAGATTTCTGCGACACAAGCAAAGTGCTGGACTACTAAGTGGTTGCATTCCTCTTTTTCTGTTAGGAGGCAGTACACCGTTTACAATGGGAAGTCCTTCACTGCTTGCTTCACTTACTGTAGCTGGTGTTCCTCACCGAAGGTGTTGTTCTTTATCCTTTTCTGTTTTCTTTATTCTGACATAACTTGCCCCATTCTGACGGAGCCAACTTTGTCAAGTATGCCGATGAGCTGACTGTTTCTATGCCGGAGATTACTTCTCAGTCAGACTGTTCCAAAATGAATTACGTTTTATCAAAAATTAGTCAGTGATCCTTGATTGTCAAATGGCCTAAAGCTAAATCTCTCCAAATGTCAGTCATGTTGTCAATTTCACTTCCAGACAGAAATGCGTGGGACTTACACGAACTGGTTATTTCTCACGGTTCCACTATCACAGATGGCACTGAAGTTGAAACTAAATCGAATGTTAAATATGCCTTCGACTGTGTATTTCCTCTGATCATCTTTTCTGGTCTTCCCACATCATGTTAGTTTCCAAAAAGGTATTTCGTTTGATATTATCCTACGTAAGGAAGTTAAGACCATCTGGTATCATCGCGTCTCTACTGTTATAGTTTGTCAGTTCGTGTATTCTGACTATACTTCTTTACTGCTCCCCCATATTATTTCCCGAGCTACTTAAGAAAGACTGTGTTATACTGCAAAGGGCAGTAAAAGCCATCTGTGGGGCGAGTAGGGTGTTGCTAAACCAAGTCGTTAATATTACTGTAGATAGACACATGGACTCCTATAAGAAATTAGCAAATATTATCTTGTCAGCCTCTGAGCATCGTCTGTAAACACAACGAAGTAATTACCCTGTTCTAATTATTTATCCCTGTAATGAGAAAGTTAGATGCAATGCTGCACTGCTACATGCTGAAAATTTCGTATTTGTACCAAAAAAAATACTGTTTGGAATAAAGCTGTTATTATTGTTACTATTTTTCGAATAGGTTTTCCTAAATTTCAGAATAAGACTAAAATTCATCATGGATAGATTTCAGTGGAAGTTTTGGTCATGTTTCAGATAATATTGTTAATTTTTTATTTATGACATTTCTATTTCTGTCATAGAAATCAAGCTTGAATATATAAATATATGCAGACTCGGCGTATTATTTCACTTCAAGACATCTGATTTAGTTAAGAGGTCAAGGTTACTGGATCGATAGTCAGACAAGATTCAAGAAAATACTAACAGGTTTGAAAAACACACAAAATGGTTACTTTATGTTGAATAAAGAAAACTGAAAAAAACCTTTGGGTTAATCCATACCCAGTAGGTAAAGAGACTGAAACACCGTCTTTCCCTACAAACAATATTAACAATTCAGTAGAATTAAACCAGGAGGGTGTCAGGGGGTGATAAGATCAAAACATGCCATATTCTACATACTTTTGGCCATCATGTAAAATTCAGTTAGTTTGACAATGCTTTGATAATCTGTGCAGGATAAACTATTGTTAACATCCAATTTTAGTGAATATCGACGCTTTCACATGCTTCTTTGGAGCTGATTACATTGGATGTTGTAACCACGCACTGCAAGGAACGCAGAGTTGAACATTACTCAGTTTGGTTAATGGAAGGTGGGTATAGGATGAAGAAGTCTTCAATCTGTCAACACCTTCTTTATGCAATACATTCAGCCTTATGCGATTTATCCTTTAAAATTAAGTAGAAGGGTAAATCCAGTTACTCTAGAAGTTTGCAATTTCTCCAGTTATGTAAAGCTAAAGCTCTGTCTGTCTGTTTTCGACATAGAACTTTGCACATATGTGCGGCAGTTCAAGTCGCCACACTCCCTTGTAGCACACAAAGCAAGAGAAGAAAGTAGAAGAAATGCATAATATAGACAGTAAACAGAGGTGTGAGACAAAGGAATAGTAATAACCAAGAACAAAACAGTTTAATTGGAAATCATGAGTCACAAGGAGTGGATGCATCTGCGCCAGCCATTGAGAACGATTTTGAGCCATGTCACCAATTGTTTCCAACCATTGGTTTTTACCGTCCCGAGGACCCCAACCAGGAAGTCTACACCTTCCTACGTGGCTTAGACTAACTGTTGTAGATTTCATTGACTGGTGCCATGTTTTCGTTTGACCACCGCTAGCTCTTTTCCAGCCTGGCCCTATATCAGCTAACATTGCCCGTCGTCGAGGAAGGCGATGACTAGGCATACGTAATACATGTCCTAACCATTTCAGTCGATGCAATTTCACAGCCTCCTTACCTAGCACTCGACGCCTTACCTCAATATTGCTCACCTTATTATACCACTTCACACGGGAGATAGAACGCAGACATCTATGATCAGAGACAGCTAATCTTTTTATGTCTTCCACTCTCAATGGCCAAGTCTCACAGCGATAAAGGAGGACGAAACAGACTGCTGAGCAATACACACGCCCTTTGGTCGATAGCCAACCGGATATCACGTCTACGCTAGAGACGGCGTAAACTGGCATATGCGAAACTAGCCCTCTGTATCCGTGATGAGATTTTTAGTCAGAGATCAACCCGTTGGGGCTGAAGCAACTCCCTAAATAGGTGAAGTGGTCAACACGCTCTACCACTTGACTTCCTATTTCTAATCTAGGAGTCGGTGTAGTCCAATCCTATAACATCATCTTGCATTTGGCGGGAGCGAATCGCATGCCAAACATTTGTGGATTGCAGCTCAAGGTGTTCAGAAGACTTTAGTTATAAATGGGTGAAAACATATTCAACAAATTTTGTTAAACACCATGAGTCGGTGGCACAGCCGTTAGGACGCTCACCGACCATGCACACGGTTCAGAGTTTGATCCCCTGTCGACGCACACATGGTATCTATGGTCGGCCTGCTAAAGTTGGCCAGCGATATCACATGCTGAAAATCCCATAGTTGTACTAAAAATATTATGTGGAATCAAGCTATAATAAAATTAAAGTAAATTCCTTACCATGGATATAGCACAGTTGTCTTTTATTTTTTATCTTACCCGTGAAAGTCATCCTACTTCACTTCATCTTCACCCTCAACTTCTTTGATGACACTTATCCTACTTTTAAAATCGTAATACCAGTTCACTTATTTCACATAATCTTTTTCAGAGAATTTGTGATGTATCCACTTCAACTGTTCTCCCTCAAAATGATCATGTCCACTATCTTTATTATTACCATATGTGTGTATCAAGTTTGATGAAGGATTGAAACTAGTTAGAGAGCCAGTTAGAGAACCCATTAGTAAGCCAGGAAGTACTAGACAGCTGTTTCATCCTGGGGTGGGGCTCCATCCAGAGGGTTAGGACTCAGAACCTTCCGCTTACAGGGACAGCTATTAGACTATCAAACCATCGCCATCGATGACATTGGCTGGAAGTTAGAATTCATGAGTCATTGAGTCAGATCTCAGTGGGTGCGTGCTGCCGAAGAGTCCCAAACCAGGGTGAAACGGGATGTCTATCTAGTACTCCCTACCAGGTGGTTTTCCAATGGTTCTCTAACCAGTGTCAGCTCATGATGAAATCCTGTAACCAAACCAAATCAAACCTCTGCAAACCAACATTTGAATAACTAAAAGAGATGCAAACGTAAAGAAAACGTCATTAAAACTTTTCAAATATCTGAAATAATTAAAGTTCTACTACTTGCTAACTTCAGTTAGAAAACCATTGAAAACTGGATAGTATTGGACAACCATTTCATTCATGTCTGGAATTTTTCAGCGGCATGAAACTCATCATCCCACCACAGATTAAGGTCAGGATCCTCAGACTACTACATGGAAAACTCGTTGACCATTTAGCCATCAGGTTGAAATCTGATGTGGTGATGGAACTTGAAATGAGCCAAATCCCTACAAACCAACACTTGAAAATGAAGCTAGTGCTCACCAGACAGTGATTAGAGGATAAAGTCGCCTGAAATTCTAGTGAGAAGTCGTTACCAACAGAGTCCTCTGAGTTGAGGTGTGAGCGTAAATACTCACGGATGACATTGGTTGACGGTAGTAGTATGTATATAATGCCAATCAGTCGGCCAACAGATTCCCTCCCCCAGTGGCTGAATGTCCAACAAACTCACCTTGAAACTCGAAGGTTCTGGATACAGTTGCTGGTAGGGGGTCATAGGTGCGTGTCTCAAACAAGGACAAGACAGCTATCTAGTATTTCCTAGGTTCTCAGTGATGCTCTGATCGAGTCCCTGTAAATCAGTCAATAGACAAAGGGAACGACGGTGCGTCGGTGGCACAGTGGTGAGGACTCTCGCCGATCATGCACATGACTCGGGGTTCGATCTCCTGCCGGCGCACACCCAATATCAATGGTTGGCCTGCTAAATTGGGCTACCTATATCACATGCTGAAAATTCCATACCTGTACCAAAATACAGTGTGGAATCAAGCTATAGTAAAATAAAAATAAAACCATGTGATTGAAAATGCTTCAAATTGGTAATATCGCCGGCAGTCTACTGTAAAAAACTGTGCCCTTCAGTCTAAACACCTCTGATTAGTCATGTATAAGAAACAACCCAGAAACATCAGGCCTCAAAAATCAGTAGGTATGTCTTAGTGTAGTAGTCATTCAGTTGGCTAAGAATGACCAAGCCCTAGACAATAGAAATTCACAGATAATTTCAGAACACTGAAGTTAAACACTGGTGAAGATGAAGTTAGAAGGGATATCGACAAGGGGGTTTCATCTAACCATACTCTTGTGATAGACGTTTGAAATGAAAAAAGTGTGGGTAATCCATCAACTACCCAAAACAGAAACCAAAAACAGTGGTAAAACCTCTTACTAAGGTATGAATGAAATAGCCAAAATCGTAGATATCAGCATAAAATTACCTGTGGAATAAGGCAACCATTTGTGGTAAATCTGTGACTTGTATTCGTTTAGCGGCGACAGCACCAATCAGCGAACCGCCAGCTAAGCAAGCTGCCATTTGAGTGAGCAATTCTGGATTTGGCTGGATTAATCCTAGAGTGGTCATCAGTCCACCTGTAACACCAATCACGCCTATTGCATTACCTGATGTAAAGAAAATAACAGAAATCGCCAGTGACACACAACATACAATTTGTGCTAGATTATATAGGAATTACAGAACAGAGCTCTCAACAGTTTGTTTGCAGGGATTTAATTTGTTTCAAGGTTTTGATAACAGATCGATATCAGTTAGAGGACCAAGCATTGAAAACCATGGAGTGTCGGACAGCATTTTCATTCTATTTTTGAATATCATCGGCAATACGCACCCACCGCCAGGGTTTGGACCTAAGGCCTTCCTTTTACAAGGCGAGCTCCCATTCAGCCACATTGGGACCAGACTCAGTGGTCAACACATGAATTCTAACCTCTACCAGTTCGTGAATTTCACGCGACTGACAACCAGTCAATGTTACTGACGAGTATTTGTCTTGTTTTCTGATTAGGTGGACCGCCCTGGTCACGATTTATGACTAGAACTCGAGACAGTTTCATTCATCCTGCAGCCAGTCACTAGCGAGCATCAGATTAATTTTCAAGACACTGGATGGTGGTCGTGCTAAAATTATGAATTGACAGAAGTTAGGACTCATGGGTCATTGAATCATGTCTCAGTGGCTGATTGGTCTGCGAGGTCGGCTTGTAACCGTAAGGTCCTGGGTTTGAATCCTAGCGGTGGACGCGTACTGCTGGTGACTCCCAGACTAGGACGAAAAAGCTGTCCAATACTCCCTGGTTTTCAATGTTTGGTTCTTTAATTGATATAAATCCGTGATCGAAATCTTAAAAAATAATTCAGCCGGAGAATATATTCATAACTGCAGTTTTCCTTATATTCTTCAACTGATATCAAATAAACAAAATATGGGGTTTGTGTACGGCAGCTACTAACAGATTGCTCTTTTCATACCAAAAATCAAATGGCCATCCAGAAAGCACAAGTAGGAAGGGACTTTGCCAGTGTAACGAACCAACGAGGAACCTGTTGCCTACCAAATATGATTAAGAAAACAAAGATGGACTGGAAACACGCTGAGGAGACCGCTGAATGTCATCATGCACCAAACCCTCGAGTAAAATCAAAATGAGAAAAGACGAGTTGGTCACAGATTCGTGGGTGACATGGAGGAGATCGTGTGAATAGGAAATAAAAGCTTAAGAGTAATTGTAAAGCCAGCTGCAGAGGACTTCAAGAAACAAGGGTGAAATGGGGATGTACTGTCAAAGCCCTGTGTCCTATTCGGAACTCAAGGGAATATTATTAACATATTAGTTCGAGACATCATTAGAGGAAAGTGAATTCCTGGCTGTTTTGAAATTATTATACTTATACTTCATAGACTTGATATATAAATGATGCTTAAAACATAATTACACTCAGTTTCCCGTCTTGCGCTAAAGATGTTGTCCAGAAGGGGGACGACGAAAGCTGTGCAATTAAACCAACCAGCTCCTCAGAGAACACAACTAATTGATGACATTGTTCCCTGATAACAAGTCAGTCCCTAAGTTTCCCAGATCAATTGGAGTGAATTCCATTGGTAAGATCTTTTGACAGATGATCCTAAACGATCGGAAAATTAAGGATATTTATGCTAAAGTTTAAAATAATTTGAAAGGAAACCACACACACACACAATAATTTATCGAAAAATCGGCATACCAACACGACAAAGTTTTTGACTAGATAAAGCAGTCAACGCTCCAATACAACATAGCGAAGACGCCAAATAGGTAGTTTCATGCATATCATCCAATATTGCTGAGGGCATAGTCAGTGCAGCATATCCATAGGTGCCGAGTAGGGCGACAGCAGGAATAGTGAATAAATAATTGTATTCAGGTGGATCAGTAGGACGTTTAAACATGTCAAGCATTCTTTGAGTAACGACAAAGCCACCGCCAATATTGATAGCGGACAGAAGAGTTGCTGATGCTGCCAATCCTTCAGGTAAGGTGGATGGATATAAACCACCACCCATTAGAAGTAGACCTCCGACGGCTGTAATTCCAGATACAGCATTTGTCACAGACATCAACGGGGAATGAAGAGCTGGAGTGACACCCCAAACTGTATGATAACCTATGGTTGAGAAAGATAAAAGCTATCATATCAGTGGACTTTTCAAATGTCACAGCATGTAAATAGGTGTAAAAATTTTTATTCAACCAAAATCATTTATATGAAATGATATTTAAAACTCCAGAAGATTCATAACAACGGTGAATAATAAGAAAGCGAAGAAGTAAACAGCGAAGAAAATTTCCTTTTCGACGACTCATTTTCACATAAGCTGCTGTACAATAATCGCAACAAAGAATTCATAAGGAGACCAATCAGATTCTGATAGAGTTTGTCCTCGAAAAACGTATTGCGCAATGTAAGCTGTAGTCTAGATAGGGTGACTAACTGGAAATAAGTAAAGGGACAGAAGTTGTGATGACGTAATAAGTGTAGGAAAGTGACTAATCAGTATGGTTATGTAGAATGGACAGCTGGCTGGCTGAATGGATGGACTCAACATAGAACTTGGCACCGAGGTGCAGCAGTTCGAGTTGCCACGTTCCAAATACCACACAAAGGTAGACAAGAAAATGAGTGAAGAGAATCAGTAGAGTTTTGACAGGTATAAGAGTGAAACAGAATGAGTAATGGTAGAAAGGAATATGAAAGGTTAAAGAGACTGAATACATCTGCACCATTGACAACGATTTTGAGCCATGTCACCTATTGTCTCCAACCATTGATTCTTAGAGTCCCGAGGGCCCCAACCCGGAAGTCTGCATCTCCCTCCCTACTTGACTCAGTTTAATTGTCAAGGATTTCATGGATTGATGCTATGTTTTTGTTTGGCCACCACTTACTCTTTTCCAACCTGCACCTACCTATATCAGCTAGTAATGCCCATCAACTATTGGAAAGACGTTAAAGTGTTTTTACAAAAGCTATATGAAAACTCAGTGCTATTAATAAACAGTAGTAGAGCGATAATAAAATACGGATTATGAAAATGATAATAATAATTATTTTTATTATATTATTATTTCCTTGCGTTCCGAGTGGAATATAGGGCTTCAACGACACCTATTCACTTTTTTCTGTTTTCTTCCGTCCTTTTCAGATGGGTCCACGATCGATTAAACCCTGTCATCTCTTCCTCACACGATCTCCTCCACGACACTGTGGGACGACCCACTCGTTGCTTCTTATTTGCATTCCACTTGAGAGCCTGGCGCGCGATGTAATTCTGCGGCTTCCTTAGTGTATGCCCAATCAATCCCCATTTTCTCCTACTTATTCGTTGGGCGATCGGCTCTTGGTTGGTTTGTTCGCATAGTTTTTTTTGTTGCTTATTCTTTCTGGGCATTTGATCTTCAGTATGGAGTGAATACTAATAATAATAATAAACTTTCATGATAAAATGAAGCAAAATTATAGTAAAACCGTTACTCTGGCCACGGTAGAGCGAGTGAATGTATGTGGCGCTTTTGAATGCAGAGATCCGATTTCAAATGCCGAATAACCAATGATTCAGCTGTGTACAGATGGCGTACTCGAAGTCCTTCCATACGATATTGAGGGACTGTGTGTAGCACTGTGAAGCATTCATGCAAGTGGGGATGCTTGATGAATTGGCAGACTGTCCAAAGACTCCGCTGCTACTATTCTTCTTTCCTCCTCTGGCTAATCAAGTTGAACAATGTTCCAGAATACGTTTGCGGACTTGACGTTGCCTACGGCGTATACACTTTGCTCTACACGAGCAAGTAAACTAATATATACACAAAGAGGTGTCCTAAAGCGGTATCTTGTTTTTGACGTTAGACTGGATTAACTGTCTGCTGGAGTATGTGATACGTTAAGTGACTTCTTAAAATCTCTTCTTCAAACATTTAGAAAGGCGATTTCTCCGAATTTCTGCTTCGATGTCACCTTTGAATTCCAGGCTCATGAAGAGAGTTTTCTTAAGAACAGTTGCGATGTTTGGCGGCGGACGCTTTTCTTACATGTTTTTATCTATGAATTTTGGTGGTTGAGAGATAGAGATTTGAATGTCATACTATGCTCGCTTTGATGATGATGCGTAGTGCTGCAATTAGGTCGACACATGATTCATGTTTTCCTGAATCCAGCTGTTTCCCGCCTGAGTTCTGCATCTAGAACATGGTTTAGTCTCTCCAGGATGACTTCGACCTAATATTCTGGTTGGTGTGGACAAGAACATAATACCGCAGCAGTTCTTGAAAGGGCGCAAATCTTTGATTGAACACTAGTAACTAGTATGATGTGTCTAGTCTTTTTTGTTTGGTGCAGACTGAATTCTATCAGTCAGTCATGTTTGCAATGTGGCCACCATTCTAGGTAGCTCGCCATCACCGTGTACATTGGTTTGATGATATTAGATGGTTGGAGGCAATCGGCAAGAAGCCTTGCCTGACCTAGGTTTCTTGCTGGTTGGCACTCGTCACTGTGTGACGCAGGTTCGAATCTCAGAAGGGACATGAGTTCCTTGAAGGTTGCAGATACACCTTGCTGACGAGTACCAACCAGCACGAAACGTAGGTCAGGCTGAGCTTCCTGCCGACTGCCTCCAGATATCTAGTATCATGAAATCAATAAGGCCTAATTCGCTCTTCTTATCTATTGTACTACAGCAAATTGAATAGCATAAAACCAAAACAAGATTACCACTATTAAAACCATTGTGAACATGCTGCTTGTTGGTGATGACACATTGAGATCAAACAAGTTTATACGAGAGTGGGTGAATGTCTCATTCAGTTTTTTCACAGATAATTTTACTGATTACACATGAGCACTTACCTACAATACCTGAAAGACCAAATGTTGTCAGCATTGTAGTAAACGCTGGTGAAGGTGAATACAATCCCACTCCAACTAAACCAGTCAAACCAACCGAAGTAGAGATGACAGAACGTAGTTTTCTTCTTAAAATTACTGATGGATCATTTGGTTGTGGTGTAACACTCTCGACTGCTTTAGCTGGCTGCTGTTCACGTTTCACAGGTGCTGGTTGCGGTCGAGCAGGCGGTGGCCACATGAGTTTTCCCTTGTTTAAAAACACCAAAACACCATGAATTCATTAGTATATGGCGCTTAAAAATAGTACCATGAATATATGTATAAATTTCAGAGAACATGTTTAAATTAAAAAGTCGTAAGTATGACCGCAGCGTCACAGTGGCTGAAAGGTCTACGACCTTGCCTTGTAAAATGGGGTTCCGGAGTTCGAACTCCGGTAGGTAAGTAGCCCTGACGAGGCCTAGCTCTTCCTGGTTCTGTGTGGGTCACTGGCACAGTGGTTAGTACTCTCGCCGACCATGCACATGGTCCGGGGTTCGATCCCCTGCCGGCGCACACCCGATATCTATGGTATGCCTGAATTTGGGCAACCGATATCCATGCTGAAAATTCCATACTTGTACTGAAAATACGGTGTGGAATCAAGCTGTAAATAAAAAAAAATGGTCGCCAACCAAGCACGTGGTTCAAGATTCGATCTCCGGCTGATGCACTCCCAAATCTCGCTTATCTGGTTATAAGCCCAGCAAAGAGGGACGGTTTGGGGGTGCGACTAGCAACTCCCCGCTCGTAACAAAACACCATTGCTACCGAAACTTTAAAGCTAGAACTTGAAGCTGGGTGTTCAACTGGAAACGCAAAGAAATAAAAGAAATAAATGATAATGGGTTTGATCACAAGTTGACATCAGTTAAAGGACCATTGGATAACAACGGAGCTTTTTCATCCTAGTTTGGAACGCTTTGGCAGCATGCACACAGCCACTGAGTTTCGAACACAGGACATTTCGATCACAGGGCAAGTCCGTAGACCATTTAGCCACTAGGTCCCGATCCAATGACTTATGAATTCCAAATTCTTCCAATTCGCGATATATATATATATGCATGAAGTTATATAAAAGCAAAGGCATTCAGAGAATTACTACTCTTTCCAGCAATATCATTTTCAAGCTGTACAATCGTATACATAAATATAAATGTATGTATAGAGTACATTTTCATAACAATAAAAAGAAATGTTTCCAAGGGTGTATCGTTAAAATTGTAACTTTTTTATAACAACTATGAAATACAGAAATCCTCAATCGGGTAGAATGCAAAATTAAATAAGTAAAAATTGACTGACAAGATTAAGTAAAGTTGAAATAAAACCGAGAGACAGTCAAGTTCAGATTAGTTTAAAATCACGTATCTAAGATTTGTGGCAAATTAAGTCCATTTTAGGTTCAGTGGCTGAATAAACTTCTTCTGGATTCATAGTTTAGGATTTGACATGTGGATCACCATCGCTTCGGAGGTGTGAAGAAGTTTAGTTCGTACTCCTTTAGTGAGATTTCCAAATACTCTGTAGATTAATCTGAAGTTGGTTTGCTGATTCGCTCGGTGTCCGAGACTGACCGAGCTACAGGATGATATTTTCTCTTCTCTGTAAGGCCATGAGGGTAAATGTTCGTTCATACTGTTAGGTAACGAATGCTGAGTACAGCTGATGTATTTAAATTCATGGGAGCATTTGAACTAATAGATAAACATTGATGAGGCTAGCACTGCTTGCTTATTCTTCAAATTCATGCAGGTCATCGGTTTTTGGGGAAAAGTTAAGCCTCAGAATGTTTTTAAGTGAACGAGACAAACAGTCCTTTAGTTTTTCTGCTGACGAGTTTCCATTAAATTGTAAATTTAAATATCAAAACTTCTTCCAGTGGAGTATGGGTGGGTGGGTGGGAGTTCAGACTTCATGGATTTTGTAATGAATTGTTCACGGTAGGCATTTTCGATGAGAAGCTATTTTAGAGTGCTCAGCTCCTCTACGATTAAATCAAGTTTTGCAAATACTACACATTATGCAACTCAATGAACAGACCAAGTTTTATTTTGTATGTAAAGAAACCTAATTGTCGGAGTTTGTGAGTTGTCCATCTCATGTCGGCTTTTTTAGGATGAATATTTTCAATGTTTCATTCTCATACCTACCTTGTGAATTTTGCTACGGAAATGAAATATGTATACATGCGATTGTACAGCTTGAGGAACTCTTCACTAAAACACCTCTTCTTTTAATGTTATTTAATCAAAGAAGAACACTTAGTGTGAATAAAATGACAATTAAATGTATCAAATATATTTCATTGCCATATAAATATGTAAAATAAATAATTAAACTTACATTATGCAATACAATACTGTCCCGGATGACATCATCTTCCAAGTTAATATAAAACCTATCTTTGGCATCTAAAAAGAAAATAACACAAAGACAATAAATTAACTAATATAATTAAAAGTAAAATATACACTCACAAAACACAGTACATTATTCATTAATTAATATATATATATATATTAGTTTATTGTATTGCAGAATATTAAAAGTTCTGACGTCTATGAAGGATTATTTTTATTGCTGGTGGCATAGTGGTTATGACTCTCGCCGACCATGCACATGTTCCGGGGTTCGATCTCCCGCCGACGCACACCTGATATCAATGGTCGGCCTGCAAAATTTGGGCTACCGATATCACATGCTGAAAATTCCATACCTGTACCAGAAAAATACGGTGTGGAATCAATCTGTAATCAAAATAAAAATAAAATAAGAGGGGAATCAAAGATGTACATTTCTTTCCCCTCTTTGAGATTCACCAACTGCGTGCTTGGTACTTCTAGGTGCCGAATAAGAAGAAATGCGTATTCTGCATTCCACTGCGAACCACCACGAACCGAAAATCACCATTGATATAAGTAAAAAACTTGGGCACTGTGGTAAAGTATAACTCCATTATGGATAAGATTTTATTTTGATAAATCACACAGTGTTACACAGTAATATTAACTGATGTCGTTTCTCTTGGGTTGCGAGTGGAACACAGGACTTCAACAACACATCTCCACTTTCCTCTATTTTCTACTGTTCTCTTCAGCTGGCTGGTTGTACGACTGCCCATAATCCCTTATCTCCTCCTCCCCACACGATCACTTACGTGTCACCCACGATGTGATGACCCCCTCGTCGCTTCTTACTGGGATTGCAATCGAGCACTGGCCTGTATTACGAGCAATGTCATTCGATGGCCTCCTCAGTGGCGTATGCCCGATGAATCCATTCCCATTTTCTCCCAGATTTTTGAGCAATCAGCTCTTGGTTGGTTTGTTTGCAGCCAGAGTTTTTTGTTGCTAATTCTTTCTGTCTGGCCGGTTGGCCATTTGATCATTAGTATAGAGCCAGTGAAGGGGGCAACTGTTGTTAAAAGGCTGTAACTTATTAGAAATGCTTGTGATGACACACTGGCCTAGTCTACAGTGGCCTGCTGGAAATGCTTTACGTGACTAACGTGCAGTGCAAATTTCTGACCCGCACAGAATCAGTGACTGACTGAATGATTTCACATCTGTGTTGGACAGAATTCGAATCTTGTTGTTAATGCTAGCTGAGTGAGTGAAGCAGAAGATTTCCAGACTAGTTTCAGGTTCTGGATGGCTGGCTTTGACATCTTCATTCGTTTCGACTGCCTGTGGTTGAAACGATGCTTCCTGGCTGGATAAGTGAAGGAAGTAACCTCTGTCAAATCTCTCCTGTTTATGGTGATTGATGCTGGTTTTTGTTGTTGTTGGTTGGTTGGTTATCTCCATCACCACCATCATCTCTATGTTCACGTCAACTCCTGTCTTCGTTGGTTGCTTCTCTAACTAGTTTGTTGGTTTTCACCAACTGCAAGTCTTCGAGTTTGTTTGTCTCACATTAAAAGAAAATCATCCGCGGGCGAAATCCAGACCTTCTAGATTCTTCTTATCGGTGGTCCAGTGTATTCCTGTCTTCTCACTACTATGCACAGACTGAAGTATAATACAGTCCACCACAATTAAGAATATTACGGAGGTTGACTAATAAAAGAAAGTAAATAAATGTCATGTTTCCAAATGTGAAAGGATCGACCAATAAAAACTTACCGGGTGGAGTCATAGACAGGAGGTAATTGGCTACATTATTAGAAAATAATGTCGATGATTGACCAGGCAGTCGACTAGGCAGATCAGTATAGCCAATATGAGCAACATCATGATGATAGGTTAATTTCCCGGGTACTGTTGTTTCTACATTCCCACCAGCCTCTGAAGCCAAGTCAACAATAACTGATCCTGGACGCATTGATTCCACCATAGCCTAAAGTACATACACAACAACAATACAGAAATTAGCTTTTTACAGAGAGTGTTGAACGACAGTGATCTTTGACAGATATACTCGAGGATTTCACAATACAATTTTATAAATTCAGAAGAAAAGATGTTAGAACCTTCAAGACTGAATAATTCGATGAATGTGATGAATCAGCTGATCAGATCAATAATTTTGAGGTTCTTTGCCTGATTAGTTCGAATCTTTCTGTGTACCATATATGTACAAAAAATCTTCGTCGATAAATTTGATCTACTTACCAAATTTTTATAATATTTCCAAGTTTACTAGCCAGATAAAAGCCAAAACTAACACAGGAAAGGTTGGACGTATAGACTAGAGACCCTACCCTATAATAAAATTAGTCCTAACATTACATAAGCTTCAAAACACCGAAAGAAAATCAACTTATATGAAAGTGACGGAAAGTTTCACTTCCTCGACATTGCCATGCAACGCCTAGAAGATGGTAGTCTTCAAAAGTCAATTTATCGAAAGCCTACATGGAAGGGACAATACTTACATTTTAATAGCTTTAAACTCGGACTAGCTTAGACTCTGTACTATAGAGCGAGGAGAATATGCTCTATAGAGAAATTAGAGGAAGAATTTGAGTTTCTTGAGAAGATATTGAAGAGCAATGGGTACCCTCAAAGGTCCATCAACAAGTATGGAAGATCTGAAGTCACAAGTGTAAAACAAATCACAGTGGGTAAAAAGCCAATCAACATTCAGCTTGGTTATAAAGGTGAAAATATTGCAGCAATGATCAACAGAAGGCTGAGTACATCACTAGCCATAGCCTATCCAGCAGCTAAGCTAGTCCCCATCTATCGAAAAACTTGCTCTTTGGTGCAATCAAAAATCGATAGCTTTCCTTCTCTTGTTAACTCCAACTGTATATACAAATTTACATCTATCTGCGGGAGCAGTTACATTGGAAGGACAGAAAGAAAGGCATATCTATGATTTTCTGAACATGTACCAGAAAACTTACGTCTAAAGGGAACAAATGCTTTACACAGTGCCATCGCCAGGTATCTCCTCGACACGGGTCATGAGGTGGACGTCGAAAACTCGTTCAAAATTATCAATAGGCAAAAGAGCTCAGTTCTCCTCAAGTTTGCTGAAGCCAATTCCATCAAGCGCCTGAAACCCGATGCATGCGTCCAGAAAGAAGCAGTTATCAGTCTTTCTTTGCCCTGCTGCCTGGTAACTGGATATTTTCACCTCTCTTTCATCTGAATGCGAAATGTTGAAAAGTTTCCATTGTGTATGATTAATATTGTTGGGAATTGTGTTTAATATCGCATATATATAAGTATATATTATTAGCGTATGCACATATTCACTTATCTAGGGAGCATTGTCTCAACTACAGGAGGAACCGACGAAGATGTCAAATCGAGAATCGGGAAGGCGAAAAACACATTCACCAACCTGAAACCAATCTGGAAATCTTCGTCACTCACTCAGCATCAACAACAAAATTCGGATTTTCAATACAAATGTCAAGTCAGTCAGTTCTTCTATACGGATCAGAAACTCGGCGGGTCACAAAGAATATTTCCAACAGCCTGTTGCACACCTTTATCAACAGCTGTCTTCGCTCTATACTGAAGATCAGATGGCCACCGGAAAGAATCACCAACAAGAAACTATGGGGAGAAACAAAACAAGAACAAATCGTCCAACAAATATGCAGGAGAAAGTGGAGATGGATTGGACACTCACTGAGGAGGCCACTGGGTGACATCGCGCGTCAGGCCATCGCTCGAGTGGAACCCGAAAGGGAAGCGGCGAGTGGGACGTCGAAGGGTGACATGGAGGAGATCGTGTGAAGAGGAGTTCAAACTGTATGGACTAACATGGATGCAAGTGAATAGTACAGCAGAAGACAGAAGCAAGTGGAGACGTGCAGTTGAAGCCGTATGTTCCACTAGGAACCCAAGGGAACAATAATAATAATGCATATATTGATCGATTGATTTTTGTTTAAAATGAACTCTGTGTAAGTATGTTAAAATTGTTTCTGTAGATATACTTAATAATTTCTTCGGCCTGTAAGCAGCTGACGAGAAGGCAAAGAAATAAACGCTGATAGTACCACTTTATTCTGCAAACACTGTAGTTCTTGCTTTGTTCAAATTCATTAAGGGGAATAAATGTATGAAATAACCAAATAATTCGTTGGAATAAGCAAAACGAAATGATTCGGCCTGATGAAAGCCATAGTGCACCTTGGATGTTTAAAATTTCGTTCTAACGCATTCATGTAATATAGCGCCACATCATCTTTGTTTCTCCAGCGTGACTGCTCGCACGTGGCTCGCTCCCTTGTTGTGCTATCATTCAGCGCACTCTTTTAGCATGCTACCCCAGCCAGTTAACAGATAAGTTGTACACTATTGCTACATGTTAATTTTAGTTTTTAGTTTATTATATATAATTATAATTCATATTTGGGCACAGAACAGTGCATAAACCTTCTACCTTGACTTCATTCATCAGTACATACACAGTAGGTAGTGTACTGATCAGGGTTAAATGAGGAATATCAATGAATGAATATCGACGAGATGCTCACTGGCTACTGGCCCTATTCAGGTAGGTAGTTACCTGAGGTTCCAGTGGGAAGTCGTGACCAGTAGGGTGCAGCAGGTCGGGTGTGAGGACAAATACTCTCCGAAGACATTGGCTAGCGGTTGCGCTATATCGTGAGTGAAATGGCAGAAGTTAGAATTCATGAGCCATTGGATCGGGTCCCAGTAGTTTAATGGTAGGCGAGCTCTCCTTGTAACCAGAAGGTCTTGGGTTCGAACCCTGGCGGTGGGTGCGTACTGCTGAAGAGTCCAAAACTAGGACGAAACAACTGTCAAGTACTCCCAGGTTTTCCAGTGGTTCTCCAACCAATGTCAGCTCACGATGAAATCCTGCAACCAATTTTAGTAAATGCTGACGTTAAGGATTATTTAGAGGTTGAAATCGGCACTTACAAAGCCTTCGGGAAGACAGTCAGCTGACGGTACTTTTTTGAGTGAAAGTAGAAATTAGGAAGCAGCATTAGGACTTAGAAAATGATGGGAAGGTTAAGGTTAGGGGACGCGAAGGTTCAAATTGAATTAAATAATTAATAAGACCCGTTGCACAAGAGGTGACTCTAGTGGATAACACTTTAGTGTTTGAAATTATGGGCACAGAGTTCGAGCCCCGGCGGGAACATTATCACTCACTGCGGAATGCAGGTGCATCCAGATGACGAGTCCCAAATAGGACGAAACACGCATTCTGGCTTGATACCACTGTTAGTCACCAGTGGACTTGAAGTTATAAAAAGGTGAGAATTGTTGGAGATGATCACACCAAACAAAAAATTTCTAAGTTTGATCAGGAACTAACTTTAGATAAAGAACCATGAAAAACTAACAAGATCTGGACGGCTGTTTTGCTATAGTTTAAGACTTTTCAACGGTACGCACTCATGACCCTAATAGGAATCGACTCCAGGGGCTTCTGGTTATAAGGCGATTTCTTTGATCATTCAGTCACTAAGAAAGAATGCAGTGGGCCACGAATTCGAACTTCTGTCAACTTGCGATATTATAGTGCAGCAACAGAAGACAAGGGCCAAGGAACAGATCGTTTATTAAAGAAATCAACACATATTTATAGATCTTCATGTACATTATTATAGATTATTGTTAGCAGAAAAACACAGTCTTCTGATTGGTTGTTTCCCACAGATAGCTAACATTTCACCTTTTTGTGGCTGTTTCTTGAATGTCAGATCATCGATATGCTAACTGTATCCGCCTACGCAAAGTCTTTGTTCCTGTTTTTCTCACGACCAATATTTGGGACATAAACCTTGGCGTAAATTAATGCCCACCAATTTGGCTAACAGCCAGCTCTCACCACAATAGCACAATCGCCAGTCAGTATTTGTTCTCACAACTAACGTGGCAGACATTTTAACTAGACTATCATTCAGAGATGATGAAATAATTGTCTGTCTGTCGGTCTGTTTTCGACATAGAACATTGCACATATGTGCGGCAGTTCAAGTCGCCACACTCCATGTAGCACACAAAGCAAGAGAAAAAAGTAGGAGTATTGCATAATATAGACAGTAAACAGAGGTGTGAGACAAAGGTATAGTAATAACGAAGAACAAAAGTTTCGTTGGAAATCATAAGTCACAAGGAGTAGATGCATCTGCACCAGCCAGCCATTGAGAACGATTTTGAGCCATATCACCAATTGTTTCTAACCATTGGATTTTACCGTCCCGAGGACCCCAACCAGTCAGTCAGGAAGTCTACACCTTCCTACGTGGCTTAGACTAACTGTTGTAGATTTCATTGACTGATGAAGCCATGTTTTGGTTTGACCGCCGCTAGCTCTTTTCCAGCCTGACCCTATATCAGCTTACATTGCCCGTCGAGGAAGGCGATGACTAGGCTAGCATGCGTAACACATGTCCTAACCATCTCAGTCGGTGTAATTTCACAGCCTCGTCGATTGATTTCCTCTTCTTACCTATCACTCGACGCCTAGCCTCAATATTACTCACCTTATCATACCACTTCACGCGGGAGATAGAACGCAGACACCTATGATTAAAGACAGCTAATCCTTTCTTCATGAGATTACTGGCTACTCCAGGCTTGTACTTGTGTGTACTTATCTTTCTGTAAAACTAAAACTATTCTATGACACAAAGAACAAGAATGTAGATGCCATGCACTTTATCTCTAATTTTATCTAACTAACTAATTCCGTGAAATTTGGTAATCGAATGAAAAGTGAACTTCTAAAAGTCAGCAATATCTCGATCAAAATAATGCGGCAGCGTAACCGAGGTTAATACAGATGACGGATTGGTACATTTCTGCCATTGCAGTCGATCTCGGGTCATGTCTAAGCCGTCAACTAAGGAATGTACTGAAAACCTGTGCCTACCTAATTGTGGCAGATCTCTCAAGACTTGTTTACGGAGTGAATAAAATACCGTATATATATATATATATATATCGATGGGTCGTGCATACGCTGAGAAGACCGTCGAATGACACTGCGCCATCGCCAGGCCCTCGAGTGGATCATCGGTGAGTGGATGACATCGAGGAGATCGTGGAGATGAGGGACTGTTGGTTATTTTTAACTCAGCTGAAGAAGACGGCAGAAAATAGAACAAAGTGAAGCTGTGTTGTTGAAGCCCTATATATTCCACTCAGAACCCAAGGGAACAATAATAATAACAATATACATATATATGAAGAGCAAAAGAGCTTACCTTTGTAATCAGTTTGGGTGCCGGTTTCCCTGGAATTAAAGCGCTGGTGATTATAATGTCTACTTCTTTCGCCTGTTTTGCAAATAACTCCATTTCTGCTTCCAGGTATTTTTGAGACATTTCTTTAGCATAACCACCAGCTCCTTCACCTGACTCCTATTGATTTAGTAAAAAATTAAACAAACCGTTAAGTCAGAAGAAAACACACAGATTTCATGAATAATCTTCATCCAGACATTAATGGGTGGAAAGGCTGAAGAGGCTCTTTTCACCGGCGAATTCATTTTCTTCAACTTAGCCGTACAATCGCATTTTAATACAATATTTTCATGAAGGTGGACATTAACAAAAGTGATGGGTTGTCATAATCAACGCTGTTAATATTAGTCAGTGCATTAGAGGAGATGAATGCCTGTCTGTCTGGATTCAACATAAAACTTGGCACAGAAGTGCAGCAGTTCGAGTTGCCACGTTCCAAATAGCACGCAAAGGTAGACAAGAAAATGAGTGAAGAGAATCAATAGAGTTTTGACAAGTAAAAGAGTGAAATAGAATGAGTAATGGTAGAAAGGAATATGAAAGATTACAGAGACTGAATACATCAACGCTAGCCATTGACAACGATTTTGAGCCATGTCACCTAGTGTCTCCAGCCATTGATTCTTAGAGTCCCGAAGGTGGGCCCCAACCCGGAAGTCTGCATCTCCCTACCTGACTCAGTTTAACTGTCAAGGATTTCATGGATTGATGAGGTCATGTTTTTGTTTGGCCACCACTTACTCTTTTCCAACCTGCACCTATATCAGCTAGTAATGCCCGTCCGTCGGGGGAGGCGATGGTTAGGCATGCACAGCACGTGACCTAGCCATCTCAATCTATGTAACTTCATAGCCGCGTCGAGTGATTTTCCCTCTTTGCCCAACACTACGCGTAACGTCAACATTACTTACCTTATTATACCACCTGACGTGAGAAAGAGATCGTAGACATCTATGATCAAAAACAGTCAACCTTTTCATGTCTTCAACTCGTATTGGCCATGTTTCAGAGCCATAGAGGACGGAGCGAACTGCTGAGTAGTACACACGTCCCTTGGTTGATAGTTGGATGTCACGCCTACGCCAGAGATGGCGTGAGTTAGCTGAACGTAGGTGTATTAGAGTTACGTAATAAGATGGATACTTTTATGAATGACTTGTAATCGGGCTGCACATAGGAACGAAGGAAAATGTGAAATTATGTAAGGGTTGTAAAGAAATACAAGAGTTCTAAGGACTGACTGACGGAGAATGATGCTCAGGAAGGCTTCATGTGCTTTTGGAAGTGTGTGGGCGGTTGTTACTTCCCGGTTGCCCAAACTGTGGAAGTTGATTGATTCTTCAGGTACGTGAAACAGAAACCGTAGAGCCTAAGGGACAACTGCTTGAGGCCCGTCACACACGGCATGTATGAACTAATTTCTAGGATTGATTCCGCATTAGTAAACTTACCGCCGATTACGGACCACCGTAGAGTAAGTCAGGATGTGCAATTGTTGGAACGACCTTTTCTAACCCCTTCTTTCCAGAGTGAAGAGACAATCTAGCTGGCATGCTGGTCATCTGAGGAAAACACCTCACTGCTGTTACATCTCTGTTCCCCAGCAGTACGACTTCGCCCACAGACCCCCAGCATAGTGTAAAAAGATCTCACACAATGCTGGTAACTGCTTTTAGTTTAATCGCTATCCGTACAACCTTCCTGGCAGGGTAGGACCTGCAGGAACAATAGTTCCAGTCAGTGTAGCTTGTTGGGTCATTGCGATATGCAAGCCTGGCCACCACATCGAGGTAGCAGCTATCGGTCGGGAGAGTTATACGGAGTTAGATGGAGGTATTTGTTGTGATGGAATAATGATCAGGCCTTAATCGTTTTATTGCTATTGCTTCAGCAAACCTGAGAAGACTTGAGGTAATACTTTGTCAGTGAATTACTTTGAATGATTCCAGCACATCTACTCGGTGTCCTGTGTCAATCAGGTGTTTGGCGATTGAAGAGCCTAAAAAATTCGGTCCCTTTAACCGGAGGCTTCTTGGTAAATGTTTGTAGAATATGACGTAGGCCCTCCTCTCTGTTCTTCCAAAGTAACTGCTCCCGCAGATACAATGTGTATATCAATTCACATGTATCTGCGGGAGCAGTTACTTTGGAAGAACAGAGAGGAGGGCCTACGTCATATTCTACAAACATTTACCAAGAAGCCTCCGGTTAAAGGGACCGAATTTTTTAGGCTCTTCAATCGCCAAACACCTGATTGACACAGGACACCGAGTAGATGTGCTGGAATCATTCAAAGTAATTCACTGATAAAGTATTACCTCAAGTCTTCTCAGGTTTGCTGAGGCTGTAGCAATAAAACGATTGAAGTCTGACTTATGTGTCCAAAAAGAATCCGTTGTTGAACTTCAATTACTCTGGTGAGACTCACTTCTTAGTAACTCTTTGTTTTCTAATTTTGTTAACTTATCTTTTCACTCCCCCCCTTTATTTTTCACTTGACTCTCTTAACAGATATTTTTTCCTGATCTTCTAAGTTTTGCTCATTGTATTGCATCATCAACTTCTCAACTGACCTCATGTGCACGGAAATTTCGTTCTTCTCTTATCTATTTAGGTAACTATTACTAATTTTCATTTGTTACCAACCCAAAAACACAACTGTCAAAATAATTTTTTTCGAGAAACTTCTCTCTAACAAGATATATATATGTCGTAACACTTTAGACACTCGTAAATCCCAACGCCTTATTTCACTATGACACTCTGACAATATGCTTGCTAATGGACAAAAGTTTGTTAGAATGGTACACTTTTTTTAAAATTTTATTGGAGAATTCAGGTTGTGCGCAGCTGATGAGAACCGACGAAATAAAATGGATACAGATTATTCTGCGCCAATGTTACTTCTTTCTTTGTTCAAACTATGATTATAACAACTCATCACTTTTATCACTATCCTAATTTGTGGAAACATTGTAATATAAACATGATTGTAC